AGATCAAATTGTTTCGGACTCCGCAATTTAGGGTTCCCCCCCCCCCCCCCCCCCCCCCCGGCGTTTGCCATCGGGGTTGGGTTTTCGTCGCTTGGCAGTGATGTTGTAAAACAAGTCGATTCACTTCGTGAACTCAGCAACCAGGTTACCGCTTTTCTTGTTGCCTTTGGTTTTTTTTTGCGGTAACCATGAATGGTGGTCGAGTAGATTATGTTGTGCGGGGTCGAGAACCCACACTCCGCGCAAAGGGGATAATCGTACGTTGTGATAAATTGGTCAAACACCCTCGAGGTAGTTACACAGAGCTTACAACTGTCTCCGGAAGTGAAAGCACCAGAAAATAAATTGAGTCATACGCAGCTGTCATCCGTACGCAAGGAAGTAAGCACAAGATTCCGAACACCCTTAGCAGGATGCAGCGCACCCTTCATGCGACTCGCCGAATACCTCACGGCGCTTCGCGCTTGGTGACGTGAGAGCCTGGTCCGCGGCGAGAACCCGGCGTGCTCCGTCCCGGCTTTGTAGGGATGCGAGGTCAATGGTCTAACGACTACGGCATGCACGACTATGAGTACACACACACACACACCCCCGCCCCCACGCCCCTGCGTACATGCACTACTTCTTCAGGCGAGGAAATCCTACTATAATACTGCCGAGAGTGCTTGCTGAGATGTACGTACATACATCTGGATACGCACGAAGACAGCCTAAATTATCCTATTCAGATAAGATCACCCAGAACGCGCTCTGCTCATTTTTTGCATGTGGGCGGACCCCAGTCTAGCTTTTCGTCTCCCAAAAAATGAGCCGGACGGGAGATTGACGGGAGGGGAGAGAGGCAGAGGGCGTACGTACAATATAGTCTCATACAATATAGTCTGGGTTTTCCCCATCTCAACCTGGCTTGCGTGTGTGAACGAGTGGATGGAGGGGGTAAAACACCTGTCTGTGGGCCCGACCAGGTGACAGGATGTGGCAAGGAAACACGCCCCCAAACTCAACCAAACAAACAAACAAAGCGTCGTCTTCGGAACTTGGGGCAGTTGGCGGGGCTGGTTCTCATGATCATGGACGATGGCCTCGCCCTCCCATACACACGCCTTGGATGTCTCGGAAGGCATACTGCGTGTTTGAGCTTCTGCTGAAGGTGTTGTTGTAAGGAAAAAAATTCTGCTACCTGCAACTATCCGAGACCCGTCCAATAAAGGTGAAAATGGAGTTTTTGGTGGTTGGGGGCCCCCAACAAAACTGTTGTTACAATAGAAATGAATACGCGGAGAGACCCGGAGGTATGAAAGAAAGCAGGAATAGCAGCAAGCAGTAGACGAAATGTAATACTTGGGACAGGACCGAGAGTAATAATGGGAGAGAGTTCGCGAATCCTATGCAGAAAAGGTACACACACGTAGAGGAAGTCCTTTGCCCACCGTGAACCGCTTCTAATGTTAGCGTGCTCCTCGAGGCCATCTCATGTACTCTCGAACAATCGGGAGCGGCAACGGCGGCAATCAATCGCAATAAACCGGGGACAAACGCTTCGCGGACCCTACAAAACAAAATTATTTACAAGTGTTCGAAGAGCCGGAAAGGGGAGGGACCGGAGAGAAGAGAAAAGAGAGATATGGGCGAAGGCGTATGTGCACGTGCCTGACTAACTGCACTCTGTGTGACATGGAAAGCGTCATCAATTGGTGGCTCTCGGCTCTCGGCTCTCTCGCAGTTACGGCACACACCGACAACAGTATGAGCATGGGCGAGATGGGCGGAGGGACGGGTAAAAGTCAAGAGAGACGGGCAGTTGCACAACTTGTCAGCTTGTCAACGTTCGACGTAGACCTGTGTAGCCGTGTACATGCACATCACACCACCAAACCATGTTGCAGCAAGACCAGGGGCAGCGATCGCGGCGGTTGACAAGCGGTCCGGAAACCCTGCTTCATATGCGGTCCAGAAATACTGCTCAACTCAAAGCAACCACACAAAAAACAAAACCGAAAAAAAACACGCGCGCGCATGGAAGACACAACAAAAGGCCGACAGAGATATGAATTCCGAAACATGCTAATGAACGAGAGCAACGATGATTGTTGCTGTCCGTGCACGTTTTGGGGAATGAGTGACGCGTGCGGGTGTTCAACCCTAACAGACAGAGAGACAGTGTACCTCCGAGATGCCCGCTGTGGTGCATCACAACAACAGCCTGAGGGATACAAACCACCAAGCAAGGCGGGAAGCCCTGTTCACTACGCAAGAAAAAAATAAAAAAGATGAGATGCACAGCACGGACCCTCTTTGTCTGTTCCACCGCCGCGTTTGGGTGGCGACACGGACAAGGCCAACTCTTGTCGGCCACAGGAAGAAGCGGAAGCTCCTCAAACTCGCGGAGGGGTCATGATCTGCGATTCCCCACCGAACCATACTCAACACTCCGCGAGATTTGCACTGTAGCTCGAGATCAACATTTCGGGCTGGGTCGGGCAAGGGGTGGGGGAGTCGAATGAAACTTCCACGGATATTGGTCTGAGAAGCTGAAGCTATTGTAAAAAAAACTCCTCTATAATTATTGCGCAGTCCTTCCACAAAGAAACATATCCCAATTTTTTTGTCCGTCATTGGCCAAGGGGTTTCCAAGTGCCGAGTTTGTTGCCAGACGAAGCTTGGCTTCAGTATGAAAAGTGACCACAAAATATGCGTACGTGGCGACTCTTTTCATGCTGAAGTCAAGTAAGAAAAAAAATCCAGGACCTGGCGATGTACCGTTTTACCAATGCATGGTATTACCACCAAAAAGGGGAGATGCGGCTGGGGAAATTGTGTACAGCGAGCAGAGGCCGAGGAGGAGCATCACACAGTGGACCACCACCAAAGCAGGGGTTCTCATGTGCGTTTCACACAGGGCAGCCTAGGGCGCTTTTGTACCACGGTTTGGTAAAAAAGACATTCAAGGCTTGTTGGAGCCTTTCGCTGCCACGAAGAGAGAAGCGTTCCGCGAGACGCTCGTTCCGCAAGACGCTTGTTATCGGCGTTGTGAGGTGATTGACTTGTTGGTCTACTTGTCATTCCTCTTGCTTACGTACTATTGTCTGTTGCAACACCGAAGGGGTGCGAAGGGATGCGTCCGCATGGAGTCCACGAACTGGACATGCACAAACATCTTGGCCTGTACAATAGGTTGGTGAGCAGGTGAACGTTGGTGTTGGGCTGGGAGGTGTAGATGAGAAAGCTCGGACAAACAAAACGTACTCGCTCGTTCGTGTAGAATCACCAGACATTAGCAAGTTGCAGCGGAAAAAAAGAAGGTGGAATCACTTTGGAGATGTTGAATGGGCCGCGGAAAGAAAATAAATCCACACAACATACGACTTCCCGAAGGCGTGCATCATCACCCATCCACCCATTAAATTTCATGCCACTTGAACGACCACATACATGCCCAGTGCTTTCTCAAGAAGAATGGATTGTACTGCCTCTACTACACGTTCATGTGGCTGTCCAAAGCACGTCGTCACACTCCTTCTTGTGCACCAGTGAGGGTGTGTAGTGTGTGTAGTGGGGCTTGCTGTCGAGCGCGTGATGTGGGAGGCACGCAGCGAGGAGAGAAAGAACTGCGGACCAATGCTATTTTTGGGCAGGGCATGAATGTGATGCATATACATGCTGCATACCCCGGAAGACTATTAGTGAACTATTAGTGGGTATGCATACATGTCGTGGAAAGAAGAGCGGAGAGGGCTGTCAGCAGCCGGCAATACAAAAAAAAAATTGATACTGAGAGGCCTGTCTATGCATGCTGCATACCCGTCAAGTAGAGACTCGGACAGAAGTTGGTGCTGAGCAGGTAGAACGGAACGGTTCTTAATGTGAAGACAACAATATCCACCATACCCCGGGAAAGAGCCAAGATGGCTGTCAGCAGCCGGAAAATATCTGGAACTGGCAGACCTGTCTATACACGCTGCATACCCTGTAAAGAAGAGCCGAGAGCAGCCGACGACGGATTCTGGCGCTCGAAGAAAACCGAAGAGTTTTTCACTTCAAATCGCGCTCACAGCACTAGTGCCCGTCACTCCCACCCGTGGTCACACAGAAGAGCCCCTCTCTACCCTCCCCTCCTGCGGTTCGTTGCCTTCGATTTTTAATGCGAGAAGAGTTCAGCACTCCCCCCTCTGTGTACACACGAACTAGCGCTATCCAAAAATAGGTCAGGAGAGGAAGCGAGAGAACAACTCACTTTGCAAGAAAAGCTCGCTTACGCCGGGATTCGAACCCCTGACCTGACCTCTAGAAGATTTCGAGGATACCAACTAGACCACCGGGGCGACCGGTACCAGTCTACGACTGAACGAAAAGCTGCTGGACCAGGCTTGCGTTTCGCTTCGCGGCAGGGGAGGCGTAGAAGGAGCTGATTGCTGCTGACAGAAGAGACGAGTGTGCTGTGCACGGCGAGCGTGGGAATGTGTGGACACGGACAGACACGCGGACACAGCCCGAGATTGATCGGAAAGAAGCCCCGAAAGAACAAGTGAAAGGGACCGGAGAAAATGGCGGTCTGTGAGAGCCCGAAAAATGGGAATGCTGGCCTGTCAGAGACCCACGCGGAAATGTAAAACGGTTGAAAGAAAGTTTCTTGCCAACCCTTCCCTTCGTGTTAGAGATTCGGCATGCGTAAAGCCTGGTATCCCTCAAACGAGCAGTCCTTGTGAAACACGTCATCAGCAAGCGGTCCGCAGAGCCCGGTCTACATCCTAACACCAAGTCGTTTGTTCCAGCCCACTCACTCTTTTCATTTTCTTAACCACTACTGAAAATATTAACTAGGCGGTGGTAGTCAATTGCCTGCGTGGCTAAATCTCAGGCTGGGACAGAGTATAACTGCGGTGCCACGCAGGAACATCATGCCAGAGTCCTTGCTGCTGATTCATTTTCTGGAAGAAATGTGCCCAATCGACGACATTGCCGCCGTCGCCTCAGCGAGAGGGCGACAATGAAAACAATTTTGTGGCGACTACCGTCACGAGGGCATATTACGCACTGGTCGCGAACTGTGTGCCGGCGCTTCCACGACATGATAGATTCATGTAGCTCGCAACACGTACTACAAGTGTGATCACACGCGTCGCAGCGGTGACCCGATTTGCTAGCTCTATACATTTTCACTATCGTACAATTTTGTTCGAAAGCCGTAGAAACACGAAACTTCGCTTCAAGTTCTCTCCAGACCACCAGCAAACAAATGAAAACAGTGAGACAGGCTTTTGAGCATAAACACAATACCCAACTGGTCATCAAATACAGATTACAAGCGACAACCTATGATAGGCTTGAAAATTGCCCGATGTTGGCACACAACGAAACGCAGACGGACATGGACGGGGTGTGTCGTAGTCGCTGACTTTTTACCGATGAAAACAAATCACACAGGTCCCCACCACTCATCATGTTTGACCGGTTTAGCCCAGCGCGTGATCCGCATCTGTCTTGACGGTGACACTATCCGTAGTTAGCTCACCATTCCTCGAAGAAGCATCGCAGATACGGTAGTTCGCGATGGTAGTTGAATTTGATACCACGCTCAGCGCACTCATAACCTTCCAAACAATCATACTTAACCGCCACCCGAAACCCATGATATATCTAGTACGGCCTGTAGCTCCTCTCCTGGCGACCTTGGGTGGTGGCTCCTCCCCTGTACGCGCCGTAACCACCCTGGTCTACGCCCGCGGTTCCGTATCCAGTGGCGGCACCCGTGTTGCCGTAGCCACCGCTGCCAGACGCGTCGGTTCCGGCATAAGACGTTCCGTACCCCGTTGCTGCCTGGCCGCCGGTAGTACCGTAGCCCTGTGTTTAAGTGAACCCAACGAGTGAGGAAAAAGTCGACGATCATGACAACTGCAAAACAGAAACTCAACAAACAAGAAGGATGTCCGACGAAGCCGGGAGTGATCAAAGGAGCAAGAGAGAGGCAGGAGTTGAAAAATAAAAATCGGTTGCGATGCTCACCTGCTGCTGGCCGTAGCCTTGCTGGCTGTATCCCGTCTGAGCACCGTACCCCTGCTGAGCGGTTGTCCCCTGGTTGTAGCCGGTAGACGCCGTCTGGGAGGACTGCCGAGGGGTTGTGGCAGCGCCTTGGCCGTAACCCTGCTGCTGGTTGTAGCCGCCGGACGCATAGCTTTGGTCTTGCTGGCCGTAACCGCCGCCGTAGCCGCCGCCGTAGCCACCCTGCTGCTGCTGCTGGTTGTAGCCGCCGCCGTAGCCCTGCTGTCCTCCGTAGCCACCCCCGTAGCCACCACCGCCCTGGGCACAACGCACAACACACAGCGACGCAGGTTACAGGAGAGAGTTGTGTCAGCAACTATGGCGTGGATTCAGACGACTGTGTGCTGTGCACAACACAATTAGCCAGGCAGGTAGTAGGAAAGAGGTTGTCAACAAGGTGTGAGTTTAGACGCTCTGTGTGCTGTGCAAGAGAGTCAAAAGACAGCATGTGTAAAAATGTCAAAATACAGGAGAGCGATTGGACGATCTATTTGTTCGTCAGTCGGTCAGACACCCAACGTCCTGCGCATTTGATTTACAAGTATGCGTCGGAAATATACCGAAAGACATGACCGCCGGCTTCGGTACGAGCCTGATACAACGGAATGATATGCATCAACATACCATGTACGTGAGGGGTATCTAAAGTCCCTGGTTGAATATCATGGATCATACCTATATCTGACACGAAAAGCTCAAACATAGACACGTCTGCATACATGTAACGCGCCGACTTGACGACCTACAGACACCGTCCTCTGCTGTAGGAAGACTGCCGACAAATGTACTGCTGTATGCCCGATACATCAAGAGAGTAACGCCCCGACCAAAGCGACGAATGGTGAGTGGGGTGTATGGTGAGGGTCGTGACAGGGCTTCATAAGAAACATCCATCTGGGATAAATACCGCAGATCGACCCTACACTTCAACGGAGATGCACCTGCCCACCGTAGCCCCCTCCGTAGCCTCCGCCGCCGTACCCGCCTCCACGGTTACCCCCGTAACCCTGCAGAAGTAAATGCAACAGAATACTTCAATACAGTACAACACCAAGAGCAAGCGCCGACTTCGAAAAATGTCCTGAACGAGAGGTCTTACACAAACTCAAGCTCAAAATTCTTCCACACACGTCTGTGTGTGACGTGGCGCACTGAGTCATGAGGCGCAGCAGTGTACGTGCTGGTAAGATGTAGATTGAGAAAGGATCGAACGCGCGAGTCGGATCGCGAAAGGCGAAATCTGGATGGACGCAAACGTTCGAAACGGACCTGTTGGGACCAGCCCTGTTGTCCACCGTAGCCTCCACCACCACCGCCGCCGTACCCCCCACCATAGCCTCCACCGCCTCCGTAGCCGCCACCGTTGAAGCCACCGCCACCGTTGAATTGACGGGGTCCGTCGCGGGGGGCTGCTGTCTTGACTTCCACCGACTTGCCCTTCAGCTCGTGCGTACCACCGCTCATAACCTGAAGTTCGTCATCGTCGCAGCAGAATGGTAAGATAACTTACGCACCTTTCCGTGCAAGTCTCGCAACCTGACGTTCGCAGTACATTGAGCATTCTGAATAACACGTTCTCCTCAACCATCCAAACAACGAAATGCACGCTTTTGAAACACTCTGTTCGGAAAATAGAATTATGTTTTTCATACCTTGCGCACGATGTCAGGGCTGTCGTAGGTGATGAATCCAAATCCCCTCGACCTGCCCGTCTTCTTGTCGTACATCACAACCGCGTCTTCTACTTTGCCGAACCTGCTCATGACACCAACGCAAGCATGTTTACAGCATGCTGTAATGTCATCCATTCTAAATATTGTTCACAAGACGGGGTGCAAATGTGGGTGTCGCAGTTGCAACACACCTTGAAATACATCCAAACACGCCAGCTTCGTTCAAGAATGCTGCTCAGATTCAACACAAGTCACGTGATCCTTGATACTTCGGAATATTTAGTGTGATTATGACCTACAACTTCGCTGACCGTGACAACGAAAAATACAGCAGTGCACGAAGTCAACTGCTGTTACTGCCCTCACTTGGCGAAGTAACCCCGGAAGTCGGCGTCGTTCACCTCCTGATCAAGACCACCCACGAAGATCTGGATAAACGAGACGCGCGCGCAAAGAAAACAGACAAACGCAAGAGGAAAGGATGATGAAAAAAATGGAACTATGACAAACGAACAGCACCAAACGAAAAAAATTAAACAGCGCATTTTGAAGCAGCTTCCAGGGAACAACTCTCAACACAATATATGCCGAAACCGCCAAAATTCCAATCCAAGCTTTCACAACCGCACCGCAAAAACACAGCGTACGGGGGTATGGGGACGGTGTTACTCTCACCTTGTTAGTCAGAGGGGCGTCATTCATGCCGCCGTGGCGGCCGCCCACCTGAGACCCTCCTCTGGCGTTAGCACTGTTGCGGTCGGCCGCGGCCCTAAGCCATGATAAGGAGCCACCGACACACGTTCAGCACCACACCATGTCATTATATTCCAGACAAGCGGCAATATATCCACCAACACATGCGTAGGGACGGGCAGACAAAGGCGAAAAAGGAGAAGTCATTATTTACGGAGGAGCGAACGCGGGCGCCTACACTAAAAGCTCCATAATTTCTACGTACACCAGGCCTGCACCCAAACTCCCCAACCCGCCCTGCCAAACACGGAAACGACAAAACGACTCCCATGACTCTAACCAACCTAGGCAGCGGTGCCCTGTCCCTAGGGACAGCCCTCTTGACGTCTATGGTCCTGCCATCTATCACGTGTTCTTCCTTGAGGGCGGCATCCGCAGCTAACAAGCACAATTTGGAGACAAGACAACGGAACAGGGGACAGAAGAGCAACGAGCAACACACAAAATAATACAAGTTGAATAGCTGCATTTGCCGCGGCCTGCTTCCTTCTTTGTCGCAGTACAATGCGTACATATATCCAGCAGTAGGCAACGGCCTTAGGTCTGACAGACCACAAACGCACAGCGACATGAATGCTGAACGACGACATGCACAGTGCAGTAGTCGAAAAAAGCCACATGGCAGAAGCAAGAATCGAGACGAATAAAATGTCCGCCCGGTACTGCCTGGCACCGCCAGTCCCTTCCTCTGAGAATGAAGCCACTCCAGGCTGCTGTTGCTGACGTCGTTATGCTGTTGTACTGCTGTACGGGAATACGTACTGTACACGAGACCACAATCCAGATGGAGGCTCCGAGCGAACTTGCTCCACTTCTTGCGTCCTAACATGTACGTCTGCTCTGCCTTGCATGCTGCAGCCGTCCTTCTCCATCCTCTGTGCTCACTTACTGTGTACAACAGGACAGTACGTACGATACTGCTGCAAGTACCGCTGAATTGATGTCTGTCGAACCCGAAGCTGCGATGTACCTTGTCGTACTCCGATCTGCTTGCTGTCCTGTACTCTGTGCAATGGAAACCTCCAAGCGCTATCCGTGTCACTCAGAAGGTCTTAAATTACTCAATGTCGAGGACAACAGTGGCAAAAAGTTAAATCATAAACAAGGGACAGCAAAAGCACTGCCAGAGAAGCAGCGTGCATATGGAAGCCGACGTAAGTGCACATCTCAAGATCAACCAACATCGAAGCGGAAATCGCCTTGCTCTCGACACGACGGTACAATACCACATTGTCACCCAAAAGCGGTGCTCTCGATTTACGTGTCATAAAGTAAGGAGGCGAGACCCACATGTGGACTCTTGGAACTGCACGAAGCCGAAGCCGCGAGGTTCTCCGGTGATTTTGTTGCGCATCAGGATGACGTCATTCAGAGCGCCCCACTTCCCGAAGTGCGTCTTGAGCATGTCTTCAGTCGTCTGCCAAGTCAGGCCGCCCAGGAAGATCTTCCCCTCCACATCAGCCTCTGAAGTCAAGACACGGTCATTTCACCCGTCAACGTCAACAAACCGGAAGCAAACTGACCCACAACCAACGTGATCGCATTCCTACGGGACCACGTGGGGGGGGGCGACGAGAGTGGGGATCGTTCCTTCCACTTCTCAAGAGATTGAATGCTGTACCAGCCAGACAAGACGTGAATTTATAGTGCGCCTGGACAAGCTCCCAACATGTGACTATTGTGGCATTGAAGGACGAGAGCGGTGGTGTGGTATTGGCCTGCGTGCGGTATCGTGGAGTCGGCAGCACTCACTCTGTTGTTCTTCGTGCGACAACTCCTTGGCCTTTTCACCTTCCACAGCAGGCGCACCGTCCGCAGCCGCCGTTACATCGGCCGTGCCGTTGGTCTCGGCCGTGCCGTTCGTTTCCGCCTCAGCTTCAGCCTGTCCAAAATCCGAGAACACCCCAGAAACAGCAACAGCAGCTGATAGCGTTCATGTTCGCTGCTCACAAAACTACTTGGATACTCTTGCGGATACCACAGTAATGCAAATGCCGAAATGCAAGCGCCGAAGAGCAGCAAGCAAATCACGGGGGTTGTCCAAGGGTTCTCGCCCCAAAACCCCTCTTGGACTACCCATACTCTACCTCCCCGGTTTAGGTGATGCCGTTTATCGTATCATCTCACCGTTGCACCGTTGGCGGGGTCTTCGTCAGTCACCATGCTCGTTGGTTGGTCAGCGAGCACTTCCGGGTTCTCGCTCACCGAGGGGGCTACCACTTGCTCTTCAGCCGACATGATCAATGAGGAGAGCTGTCAGGTGCACGGATCGAGAGTCATGGATCATGACACCAAGCAAATCAGAGATGACATCAAGCACGTGCCGTCAGATAAAATAAACGAAGACATGTCATTCATGAGCATATTTTCGATTGACGCCACTAACAGCATTTCCGCACTTGATAATACATGGCGCTGTGCCTGGAGAACGAAAATGTTGTGGGGCAAAGACGTAGCTCTCTACTGTGCAAAACTCGTCGTATCCATGCAATAATACGGGTTATGTTACTTACCCCGCGTGTTGACACGGAACTGTAAAAATAACTTTCAGAAGAATGATTTTACATGGAGATCCAATACGATCAAGTGTGTGAACAAAAGATAATATGCATACTTTCATGGGTCAACTCCGGAGATTGTTCCGCGAGAAATTCTCCGTGTATCATCGGGGTAGAATATTCAGCAGTGTATCTATCCATCCTGAACGGACTTCGGGACCACCAATTTGGAGCCGTTCCTCTTACAATTGCACTTCTCCCCGCTCATGGCGCGTGGTCCCGTATGTGTTGTCATCCCTCTCTTGGCGCCTAATATATACATTTCGGTGTGGTTTGACACACCACCCGGGGTCACACGGGAGAGGAAGGCTACATAGGAGGGTGTTGTACATACAAGGCATCTTATGAATACTATGTACATTGGCCCCAACTTTGGTTTCTGATGTTAAAACTCGCGTCTGGTTGGGAACAGGGCAAACACAGCTTGCCGTTATTGGTTTAGGTTGTGGATGGAGCACCGTCACGCTCCAGATGCCTTTGGATCTCGAACATTTCCATGTTAATAGAATTGTTAGAAGGAAGGATGAAGAACGCGGCTTGAAGGACCTCGGTAGGGGGACACTACTGCAACGGAGGGGGGCGGGCAGGAGAGGAGAGAATTTTCGCGCGCTTGGGGCACTTGGATGGGGCAAAAAAAAAAAACAGACAGGCTCGCGTGCTCAAAAGATACCGAGAAGGAGTGGAAGACACACAGGCAGCCCGACACGCAAAACAGTAAAACAACACCGCGGAGTCAACGATTCATCCACTCGTGACACATTTCCCTGCGCCCGGATTATTTTAAAAGGCAAAGCGGCGGCAGGGTAGGTCGCCGATCCGCGGCCAAGAGATAACACTGGGGCTCTTCTCGGCCTCGCCGAAGAGGACAAGACTGCGCCTAAAACACTTCTCTGGACTCATTCAAAAACATTACGCGCTGGCGGCACACTATCGAACGTTATCGCTCTGCAATGGAGCATACCGTTAGGCTTAGGGCTCATCAATGTGTACCTGGTATTTCGTTCGCTAGGTCAACGCTTTAGTCCTGGGTGTCAAGCTCGCTGAGAGGCACTCGAAGAGCCGGCTTCCTCCCCGCCACATAAAAAAGCCCGCCGCAGCCCCAACTGCTGTTTTCGCTTACACCGCAAGATAACAAAACTAACGGGATCGGAGAAGTGAATCTGGAAGGAACTCACCTGTTGGTACTTCTGAGTAAAGCTAAGAGGTGCGGGGACGTCTACCGTGGGTGGAGGTGGGCGTTGTCCCACGGCCCACGTCCCACGCGCACAGAAAAGTGAGAAAAAGGGTTTCAGCAGAAGCCTTGCTTCCATAAAGAGGGAAACCGCCGTTTTTGTCCCCTGGGTTCGGATGTTACCTCCGCTTCGCGCTGTTCACCTCTGTTCACTGCTGTTCACTGCTGTTCACTGCTGTTCACTGCTGTTCACTGCTGTTCAAAGGAGCAAGGGCGTGCTTACGTTGCATCTGAAAGTATGCTGGACCATGTGTCTGTGTTCAGCAAGTCTGGGTTAGTACTGTGGAGCCGGACAATGGCGAAGCTCAAGGGGGACCCGGTGGACGACCTTGTTAAAAACGTACTTCTCGAAGAGAGAGGTGGCACCAACGTCGCTACGACCGAGTGGTATACGCTGCGGTAAGGTGCAGAGCACGTGCGTGGGTATTGATGAATGAACGGTTTTATAGACGATACCAATAATTAGCGGTGTTTCTACTTGTTTTTCCGCCTACTGCTGCAAGTATTGTTGCTACATTGTACTTCACACCTACCACGTAATAAAATGTAGTTACACAAACAATGCAGAGACTGCTGTTGTAACAATGCATTGCTAATATCTCTATCCATACGACGCGCTCGGTGGCCGAGGGCTTTTCTGCCTCTTGCATTTTGTCGTTTTTCCTGTAAGGTGTGGTTACACAGGAAGCCCACAAAAAATATGTACATGCACGTACCTGCCATGCATAGGTATCCTGCTGTCTGTGGACTCTGTATCCATACAGCAGTATGCTCCGATCTCTGCCTTCTGGTCTAAACGGCACAACTGCTTTCGTGTACCTGGGTTCACCAACTATTTTGCTCTAAGTACTTCACATATGTAGCTCCGCTGGGTACGTCCAAGTTAACAAAACAGCTTGGAAATACGCCTAAACAGCTGATTGGTGGACGCCCACTCTCACCCTGTTTTGTCACACAAAGCCGGGGCAAACCCTGCTACCGCCTCTATGCAATATTTAGACATTTGTCCAAAGTACTATTCTCCGGATTTAGTACCCAGCTATTTGGCAGTTGACCTGGTGGGAAATGGGAACTTTAACCTTCCATCGACCAATTTCACTGCAAAAATCACTTCCCGCTTTCTTCTCCCATCAAAGGACATGGAAAGCAACAATCTACCAGCTCTGAACAAATAAGATGGGACTCCTGATTAGTCTTCTCCTGATTAGTCTTATAGCGGTTCCCTGTGAAGCGGTCTATATCCGCTTAACCGGGTCGCGTCCTTGATAGGGGTTGTTTAAGCTGTTCCGAGGGTGTAATAGTGGTTCTCGGTTCAAGTTTTGTAGAGACCCCGCGCTCACAAACAATAACAACACACGCTCCGGGAGCCGCAGGCGCACATCATGCCGTGCGTGGATGTGGCAAAGGTCCAACTCAGGGGCATGGTTTCGTGATGGCTGTTGCGGCCGAACGCACGGTGTTTGTGGGGAGATCAAGGATCCAGATGGTGGTAACGAGATGCACCGCATTGGCCACTCGTGCGTAGCCAAGTAGTCGCAGGATTCCCCACTACTCGCGAAATCCGTACATAGATGCGCGATGTTGCCAGCCGAAATGCGCGTGTGCTTTTTGAAGGCTACGCCCGGTTCCTAGCAAAAACGAAGCGTTGTAGGAAGAGGCGTTTCGCATACAAAAATCGATAACTTAAGGTAGAGTGAGGGATTAGAACAATAATTGCTTTATTAGGAAGGGACGTGAAAATCGAGAAAGCATATATACAAGGGACAACGTGTTCCCCCGTAAATCGACAAGCAAACTGCGCCCAATCTCAAACCTGTACCACCCGTACCGCCGTCTACAACCCGGTGAACCAGCTTGATTCGCGTTCAATTCGTTTGTTCATTGAAGATACACACGTGGAGAATAGTGGCGACGCTTTAACGTACCCATACACACGTGGAGAACAGCGGAGACGCGTCAACGTACCCAGAAGATCCCACAGTCTGGTCAAATTTCGGGCTGCTGCACGCATCCACATTAGTTCAGGATCACCTCTAGAATCGTTTTTGGTTGCCTGCTGCTGCTGTGAAGTCATGCGACGCCACTCACACACCACATCGGTAGGCTCTGGCAATGTCGAGCAGTATGGTTACTCGTGGCTTGCTGTGTCTGTCGGCAGCTGAAGCACAATTTCTGTGGTTGTTCACCCAGAATCTACCGTAAGGATGCGAGAGAACGCACGGGGGTGCGATCGATTTTTATATGATTTGGTTCTTGATTTTTTATGGCACCTCCGTGCGATAATCGAATTAAATCACATGGTGATTGTTTTTTTATCGCCCGGGGGTGCGATATCACCGGTACGTGCGATATCACCGAATCGTGCGTTCTCTCGCATCCTTACGGTATCCCGGAAGATAAGGTCAAATCGCAAAATTCCTAGCACCTCGACCTCGCGCTACAAGGCCTAACCTGATAAGGGGCACAGTTTTAATCAACAGGGTTGCTCAACCTCGGAGTATGTTTTCTCCTGAAAGATGTAGGGGTCTGTGTCTCCTACGGCTTGGCGGGAGAGGGGAGAAACTGGAGTGATCAGCAGTCGACGGGGGCACAAGGATTTCTTTATCTACAAGTTTGACCTGCAAGAGAAAACATGAAATACCGTTGGAGTAAGAAACACCATCACGGACCCCCGGGACACAAGGGATGGCGTCTCCTCCGCTGGAGCCGGGCGAAGCCTTAATGTTTGCGGGAGCCGTGCCTTGTTCCTCCTTGCCGCTCTTTTGTTTTTAGTTTTTTTGTATCCGTGGGTCCAATCACTACGTTCACCATGTGGTTGGTCATGTCAGGACACTGCTCGGCACGCTGGTAACAGAATGTCCAAAAGGGAGAATAAAGCCTGGTGTTGTCGTGTATTTGAAACGCATGGAATTGTTCACTCCCCAAGGTGGGACGAAACACACACAAACACATACACACAGGCGCCGCAGCGGCAAGGTGGGAAAACATGAAAATATGAAGTCCCTGTGTGACTCCGGCTGATACGTCATATGTATTCCGAAAGGCGTAAACCGGCGCTACATGTAGAACACACACACGCATGCATGGACGCTTGGAGAACTGCTGTGCACCGCGCTCCCATGATATCAATAACTTCAAGTTCTGTAAGTGTATCCTGGCTTCCACAATCGTTAGAGTGAATCATACAACCGCAGCGGGCAGGAAAAAAGGTGAACGGGCGGTTATAGAAACTGAATGTATGAACGCAATGCTGTGCTGCTATTGCAACGGTGTACCCACGCTAGCTGAAAAGTGTATCCTGGCTTTTTTTATGTATAGGGTGAAAGAACAAGAAACCACAACGTCACAAAAAGGAAGAGCTTGTAACTGCCGCGATGTTTCGATGCACCCATGTTCCGAGACTCAGTTTGGAGCCGCGAGGCTTAAAGACAGGTTCGGTCGTACGTGAAGTTGTGCAAGTGGTAAAACAGCAGCAGTTTTCAAGAACGTACGCGGCATTCGATGTCTTTTCGCCAGGCTGTGTGTCTGATGTAGGTATGCATTCCGCGCGGTTTAAGGGGAGCCGGCCTGCCCATGCGTACTCTCCGCAGTACTGATCATTGAACAATCAAAACGTGGGCTGGAAATATGCAGATGTTGGAGCATTCGGGTACAAATGTGCTGTACAGGTCCGCACTGCTCACTGCTATGTGACAGCTTCGCACTGTCAGAAATTTGAGAACATATTTGGAAATTTCAGGAATTTTTGTACAGGTTTGAGTCATGGTTAACAGCTAGTCGCTGCGTGTCGGCCTCTTGCGTCGACCCTCGATCGATCCTGCGGCAGTCGAGTTGGAATGACTTTCGCCGTTGACGCCGCGAAAAAGATCGTGAGGCGGTTCCCGTGTCCGCGTGGTGAAAGGCCAAAGCTGATATCTTGATATACATACAAGACCTCTGAGTTCACGCAAGCGCGCGTCATCAATCAATCGTCGTCACAGACCCTAGTGTTTGTGCTGTTTTATTATGTTCATGTCTCATGTATCACTCGACTGTCAACACTCATGGGATCGTTCGCCTCGGCTGCGCTTCTGCACTTGATATTTTTATATCCCCATGGCCTCCACGCTGTGTGGGCGTCCTAATAATGAAGGTGGTCGCTGGCGAATGAGCTGGGGCTGGTGGTGGTCGCGCTGTACCAGAAGAGCCTGCAGTTGCAGTACGTGGAGGGACTGGTGGACAACATTAGGCGGGCAAGAGCATCTTGCCGTTGGTCCTGTTTTGAAATATGCGGATAGGTAGCTTCACGCTTCTGTCGTCACGCGTGTGCTTCTCTCTATTCGCAATTCGTTAGAGGTTCAGGTTGGGAAAAGTCGCTAGACCCCTTTGTACCATCAGCCCGCCCTACGCGTAGACGTACGTATCACTTCGGCTTTTGTTCCGCCTCACGCAGCTCAACTACTATTTCGCCACCTCGCCATCATACAGGACATTGTAAGACGGTATGGTCCATCGCTCAAGAATGCGGCTGCCGCTGAACCGGTTGCGTACGACGAGCACTTCGATCGTATCTTGAAGGAGGCAGAGAGGGGAAGCGCTGCAGAGGGCAGGCGCGCGTCTTCTTCCCCGAAGGTGAGTGATGACCTACGACTAAGCTCGTTGTCTTGGTTGTTGCGTGATGCGGTCGGGGTTGCTGGAACACGCGCACATTCACTGGAATCATTCGAGGTGTGTGATGGTGCTTACGTGGCATGCATAACTATATCTCTCTTTCGGGATGCGCTTGAGTGCGTTGCGTGGAAATGGAAGAGGCATTGGCGTATGAGTCGCGGGGTCTGGTTGTGGTTTTGAGGATACTCCTACAAGTACTCATGCGGGACGCACTGACGAAACCTGGTGTTTGCGTATCCGACGCCGCAGCCATCGACGATCAAGACAACGAGCAAGCCCCGTGCGCCAAAATCCATCTTGTCGAGTGCAGTACACGACGGCACCACGTCGACATCGCTTGACCAGTCAGACGATACGGTTCCAGGACGATTAGAGGCCAATGACCTGGCGGCCGCCAGGGCTCAACTACAGGCGAGGGCGGGAGCGAAAGGGAGGCGGGGCAGCAGGCCTGGCCGAGGGGCTGGGGGTCATGGGCAGGTGGGGATTGGTTCTTGTTCAAGGATTACGATGAAAGTCGGAGTGGTATATCCATGTAGCGCAGAGGAGACAGGATTTCTGGAGAGTTTTATGTGTTGATTTGCCGATTGCCGTAAATTAAGGGGGAGGGAGAAGAGGGTCTTGACGCTGGCTCTTTTTCCCATACTTAAGTCCTATACAAAGAAAGAAAACAACCTTCCCGCCAGGGTTAGGTTAGGCATTCTACTGTCGTCAGTAGAGGACACCATGAAAAGGCGACGGGCGTGCTGGCACGTTCAGGTTTGCTTTTGGAGCTGAAATATCGAAGGTTGCAGCAGCCGCTGAAAATAGTCTGAAATCTGCACCGGAACCAAGCGGAATCCAACATTTGTCACAGCCGTGATCACCGCCACGGACCGTAAACCCCTGAACCACGGGTTGTCAGCAGTAGCTAGTGGCATTAGCTACTGCTGTAAACCAGCGGTTCAGGAGATTGGTGTCAGTGGCGGCGAGCACGGCTGTGACAAATGTTGGATGCCGCTTGGATCCGGCGCAGATTTCGGACTGTTTTCAGAGGCTGCTGCGACCTTCAATATTTCAGCTCCAGTAGCAAACCTGCACGTGTCAGCACACACGACCCATCTTCATGATGTCCTCTGCTGATGACAATAGAATGCCTAACCCTCAAAACTGACCTTATTTGAGCGCCTCCCTATGTGGCTCTATTGACTTGAATTTAGAATGGTGTGAATTTTTGTCTTGATTTCAAAGGAGGCGTGTGGAGGTAGACGCGTGAAATGTTTGTTTTTAGCAGCCTCTACTGCCGCCCTGTGCGAGAATCAACGATTTCTGTTTTTTGGCGATGCCTTCCGACTGGTCTTGTGTGTCTGTTGTGCAATTTCTGGTGATCTTGCGTTTGTTTTCAAAATTTTGTCAACATCAAAATTACTTTTCTGCCCCCCCGTAAGTACGTGACTGTTGCTGTAAAGAGGTTAATAGGCCTCTGCGTACATGCCCCGGAATTTCGTATCGCACGCCATTTGGCTGAACTAAGTCGACGCATCGCGTGTATTCATCGTGCCCATGTTTTGTCGACCCCCGAGCAGTCGCTGTCGCCGCCAACACCATCGCAAGCCGGTGGAGGCAAGAAGGAGAAGAAGAAAGGGACGGTGTGGCACGACGGCAGCGGAAGCGGAAAACAGCTGGGAGAAAAGGCTAAGGAGGCGCTAGACAGATCCAAGGTATCCATCAATTCATCCACCAAACCAGTAGATAGTTGTTTGCTTTGAAACTCGCTTCAATCCTGGGAGTCCACGTTACATGTACTGGCAGCGGTTCGATTCGATCCGGTTGAAGGTTATCCGTACACGCATGGGGAAGTGCTGCAGTAGCAGGGGCTTGCCGACACGCTTGCAATGAACACCTGCACTTGGTTTTCTATCAATCATGTCTTCACCAGGTTAGTTTCGTGGCCGATCAGCATGGAAATTCACGTACACCTGCTACCCCCCGTAGAGTTGTCGAACAAGTCATTACTAGGAGACCACCTTCTACTCAAGTCCAATGCACCCATGCTCTGACACCCTTCACCTCTATTTCGTGCCCGAATGGATCGAATGTGTCCATTCCCCCGGCCGGTTGAGTAGCGAGAGGAGGGTGACGCAGGCGATGAGGTGCTCATGGCTGAAATGCGATCTACGTATATGCCGGAAGACGGGGAGGTAAGTCGCCCAGATTTTCTTCGTTCCATTACGCTGCTGCACTTGAACGTGTACACCAATTCGTTGTACTCATCGTGCGTGAAAGCGCACCTAAGCATATTGACATTTGTACACTCCCAAGGAGCAAGGGAGTGGAAAGTTTTTCTTGTCCTGGGCTTAACGTTTGCAACGGTTGACCGTCCTACGTGTCTCACGATGACAGCGTGACACAAGTGACTTCGTCGCCCGGGCTGTCGAGCCGTGCCGAAGGTCATAAAGGGTAGGACGACGTCGTTTCGGTGTGTAGTGAACAGTTGGCCGTGCCATGCGAAGTCCGCGCGGGTCGTGTACAATATGTAGGGAAGCGCGGCGGCCCTTTGCAAAGATCCTCATCAAGCGGGTTTGAAAGTATCTGCGAGGTGTTTGAATCTTTGAGTGCCCCATATACCCCGTATTCACCACCAATTTGTTCGAAGCAATCACTCGGCCTCGTTGTTCACACGCATACCTACATGCAGACCGCAGAGTGGGACGAGCCAGAATCTGACCTCGACGAGGATGATATTTTGGACCTGCAAGCCTCAGAGAATGCGGATGAGAACAAGGGCTCTTGGGCAGGGACACTGCTCAAGACGAGCCTGGGAGGGTTCCTTCACGGGTTGACTGGGACGAAGGTGAGTCCCCGAGACCACATGGGATGTTTTAGTCGGTGGTGGTGGTTCGAGGGCAAGAGTTCGGCTTCGTTCTGTGACGAATGAAACACTGCACACAGGGCGCCATCAAGAGTGTGTCGCGTTGCACTCAAGAGTGCCTTCGAACCGGCCCAAAGTGATCGAGCTCCTGCAATGTGTCTGCAACTGTCCTGTCGCTGCGTAGTACTGCACGCGACGGCATTCGCGAGCTTCGCTCGCAAGAGGCTACCGAAGCCTTTCAGTCAAACTATAATAGGCGTTTGTTTCTCATCTGACGGCTGCTCTCTCGTCCCAATTGTATGTATTTGCACCGATCGATTCCGTGGTGAAAAACAGGTGCTCGAAGAGCGAGATCTCGAACCAGTGATGACCAAGATGCGTGAGCAGCTCATGGGTCGAAATGTGGCCTCGGAGGTAGCAAATGACATCACAGCATCGGTACAAGCAACGCTCATCGACCAGAAACTCAAGTCTTTCACCCGGTGCGCCCCCCAGGACATGATATTGTTGCTAATTGTAAATCATACTGTATATTTTTTGTCTGCTGTGCGTTGTTTCGATTTGCCCTTGGTCACAAACACCAAACTGTGTTGTACCACTTGCGTGCGGGCAGACCTTGTGCTAACGTGCACGTTTGTTTGTTGCTTGTACTGGTGCGTTCAGGGTGAAGACGGCGGTTCAGTCAGCTCTGAAGGAGGCGGTGTCCAGGGTCCTCACGCCCAAGAAGTCAACCGACGTTCTGCGCGAGGTACGGATGAAACAGTAGCAGTCTGGTAGCATACTGTTCCCCACCTGTCGAATCGTGAAATCCACATGTCGCACATGCTGTACTGGAGCGGTCGATTCGATGCAGGTGTCAAGAGCTGGTTTGGGGGACTTTTGGGGGCAAGTCGCTCACGTCCAATGCTGAAGGTCCGCGAAGCGTGTGCCACGACTCAAGCGTGCCCATTTCGAACGTGCCCGAACGCATTCAACAGGTCAAGGCCGCGCGGTCGAGAGGAAAGGTGTACTCAATGGCCTTTGTTGGAATAAACGGCGTTGGAAAGTCTACCTCTCTGGCAAAGGTGGCGTACTACCTGAAGGAGAATGGCATCAAGGTGAAAAAGACGTGCTTGGTACCTCCCGGTGTTTGGTAGTTTGGCACTATATACCCGCTGTAGTTCTACCGTCGTAGATGAAGAAGGCGGACGGATGTTAGGTGTCCCCAAATGTTGATATGGCTCAATCTTCGCTTCTATAATATCACATCAGGACATGTCCGAGGTGTGTGGGGACTCTCGTAATATGCAGTAAGTTGCTGCTGGTGCGACCCGACAGATTTGGCCGTGTTTCAGTTGGTTGCATGGGGAGGTAATAGCAAGATGATTACACCATGGAATCTGTCTATCGAGTCGCATTGTCTTGGATGTCTTTTTGAAGATCGACGTGGAGCTGTTGTGCAGGAGTTTGGCTCTCGGTGAATACGATTGAGCACAGGAAGATTATCCGTCTGTGTCATGCTTTTTTTTTGTGTGCGGTCGACCGCAGCTCCTGACGAGCAACCACAACCTGCGGTAGGGAGCCACCATTATTTCGTGATGTGAGGGCATCGATTGAATCAGACGGCCGTCGTCGGTAGGAACGACACGACCATTGTTGGAGGTCGGGGATCGCTCGCTCGATCTGATGTCGACTCTATTGGTGGTTGCCCGAGATTAAGATAAAAAATAGTTTCGGGCGATCTCTCTGTCTCCTCTTTGGGTTGTAAGGTATCGTTTCCGAGGTTTCTAGCACGAATCTTAACCGATTTCCCCGTTTTTTTACAAGGAAGGTTAATGTCCGTTCCTGGGTATATATCCCAAATCCACAGCAGTACCTGCTGTAGGAATCACGATCAGATCGAATCGAGATCTACCGTTCTTGTGAAGATCGAAAGATCAGAGAGGGCTGTGGTTTCCAGCCTTGAAAAACAACTATGAGTGGATTTGGTGCCGATCTGCAACACTGCGACCCTACCGAAAGGTGTTTCTGTGTCTTGAAGTCCCATCCAGGTGTGCTCTTGGAGCAAAGAATCGAAAACCGCTGATTTGCATGCCAAGACCTTGCACCATGACTGGACGTCCAACGCTACTTCTAAAAAATTAACCGTTTATATGAAGGACTTTCGAATTTGAGTGATACATGTCCCCGAAACCCGAAACGACGTGTGCAGGAGTTTACTGTGTGTTGTAGACGGTTGGGGTCGCCAAGGGTAGGAAGAAAAACGACGCTTTGCTGGTGTAGTAGGCTACTGTTAGGTGTTCGGTCCTGTTCACATTTTCACTAATTTCTAACCTCAGCGCGTGTATCGCAAGCGTTTTGCACACGTTCCTATCATCCTCAAGACGAGAATACATAGGAGTAACAATCTACCGCGTAGCTTTGTTTGCCGTGCACAGTCACTTCCGCGCTCACGTATCCCGAGAGACAGCAGTACACATGCAGCGTACCGCAATAGCTTGTCACGATGAACTTGCCTCGCCTGCAAATCAACCGTCCTCCTTTCTTATCGCGACACACATCGGTTCTCACCTGTCGTTTCCACCAGGTTCTCATTGCCGCATGCGACACATTTAGGTCAGGGGCAGTGGAGCAACTTCGAGTGCACTGCCGCTGTCTCGATGTCCCTCTATTCGAGAAAGGTTAGCTATTTTTTAGTGATACTCTCTCTCGCTTTGATTTTCATGCTGTGATCGACGCGGCATGTAAGGAGAGATACCCCACGCATACCTTGGATGAGCAACCACCATGAAGACAGCACGCACCTACCTGCTGTCTGAGCTATTTATTGGATTGCTCTTTTACACGGTGCTCTGCCACTTTTGATCAACGTCTATGGTCACGGAAGAGTAATATAGTTGTCTTTAGGGAGTTCGAGCAACGGCTCCAAAGGCTGCGTTGGCCGTACGTGACGATGGGCGACACTGCATGACTTGACTTGCACAGGATACGCAAGAGACTCTTCCGCGGTGGCGCGAGAGGCTGTCAAGCACGCGGCAGAAGAGGGTTACGACTGCGTCTTGATCGACACAGCGGGCAGAATGCAGGTGCGAGCCGAACCTTGTGCTAGCTGCGTGAAGCGTCTTCTCCACAGTATTACACCTCGTCTGTGCGTGGAAGCCGTGGGCGAGGTTGGGCGCGGGGCACGATTAGACCTTTGAAGAGCCTCCCTCACCTTTTTTACCACGTATTCCATGGAAGTTGCCTGAATTATGCAATGCTGGTAATTTTTCCCCTCTGTGATACACTAGCTTCCTCTGTTGACCGCACCCATGCGTGAGAAACGAAAATGTCTTGTTCACCAATCCGGCGGTGGTACGTGGACGATTTAGGATCAAAAAATGAATTTGCAGGCATGCTGCTTGTGCCTCTTTTGTTCGTGGTGATGTTGACAGAACAACGAGCCATTAATGCGAGCGCTGAGCAAGCTTATTAATGAGAACGAGCCGGAATTAGTGCTGTTTGTCGGCGAGGCCCTCGTAGGCAATGATGGAGTCAACCAGCTGCAGATGTTCAACCAGGTGCGCCATGCGGAGTAGCGCTTGCAGTCTGCGAATCGTTTACGCACTTCGCCTCGTACACCGTGTGCGGTACAAGATGCAATGAGTGGACTTTTCCACAAAGGGCTTTGCCTGTTCGCCTTGAAGGTTTATTGTTCGCATCTCTTCGCTGGTGTCCCCGGCACCATGCTGTACTTCTCGGTGCCACCCCTACTAAGTATCTTGTACTTAAGTGCGAACGTACCGGCCGACGTTGTCCTCAGTCCCCTGGCTTGTGCGTTTGCCCAGAAGTAGGACCATACACCAGCGAGTTCTTTAGATTGTTACTTCTTTAATTACTCGATCGGTACTTCCGCTGTTTCCACGGCTACCGTCTTGCAGGCGTTGGCGAACAATTCTCCGGCGGGTCGGTATCACCAGATCGATGGTGTCGTTCTCACTAAGTTCGACACGATAGACACGAAGGTACGGTCGGCGGATTCCCCAGGAACAGCAACTTAGAGTCATACCAGTTTATACTAGACCGTAACTCGGCTCATATATGTAACGCCTTAATTGGTCGCGTATCAACCTGGACGGGCACCACTGCTGCTTTTGCGGTTGCCTGGCACAGGTTGCAATTGAAAATCACCCAACTCGCTTCACTCCATCAATTACACCCGCGAGCAATATGCACTACCGCGTTAACACTACGACGTTGTGTGGCTAATGCACATCCTGTACCGCGCAAAACGGACAATGTAGGAAAGGCCACTCTTTTGTTGGTGATCAATTTCGTGATGACCCATGCCTCCTTGCTATATTTCGGCATTTTGTGTAAAAGGTGGGCGCCGCGCTTTCCATGTGCTACAAGACGGGACAACCGATTCTTTTTGTCGGGACGGGTCAGAAGTACACCCACTTGCGAAAGCTCAACGTCAACTATGTCATTAAGGCGCTCTTCGGATGATGACGGCTCAGGACTTCAACAGAAAAGTGGGGTTAAGCTGCTGTAGCGGCGTGAAAGCTCTGGCCGCTGTTCGTCTGAACGAGCTCAAAGCAAATCACGAACAAGGGAGTCAGTTTTCGTGCTTCAGTTAGATGCCATCGGTTTCCCAACTAGGTGCAACGTGGTAGCGTGTAGTCTACCCCCATTGAGCGTGCGCGGAAGATGTCCCAATAAAGCCTACTTGTATGTGCACCCGAAAGGAGAGTTTGATGTGCTTCATGTGGTGGTGAAATTACATGACACGTGAGCGGACGTTGTTTGATCGATCCACACACTACACACCAATGCGTGATAGGTCTACGCCGCTAGTCTCGGGCAACGTACCTAAGGAGGATAATCTTGAATATTCGTGAGAGTGGTTTGTGGTGGCCTCATGCACGGTGTGTGGGGAGGTGGAGGATCCGGATGGCAGCGGGATGCATCACCTTGCCACTCGAGTGCATTCAAGGCGGTTCAGACTTCCCCACGCGTCTCGAATCCACCCAAGCGCAAAGAAGTGGAAGGCCTTCTAGCACCATCAGGCACGCGCACAAAAAACCAACTCGCGCTATACAGCTGCACGCGGGAAACAAAGAAATAAAATATCCGTATGCATACAATTGTAGGACAATCCACTTCGCACACACGTACACCGAGACGTGAAAAAAAAACGGAACAGAATGGAGGTGGCTACTTCTTCATCCTCCCACACAACATCGTGGGACTGCTGCAATGAGGCACACACACGCAGACCCTCTCCAGGAAAAAAACTTTCGACGCTGCTCTCGTTGCGAAAAGATTGGCGGTTTCCCGGTTGAGCGATTCATTGCCGCTAAAGGAGGTTTAGCGGTGATGCCTTGCAAAGCGGTTATATATAAACCGGTATAAACCGGTACCACGTTATTATTATGTACAATGAATGTGTGGCGCCTGTTGCAGGTGTTCGACACCGGCTGATGCGTCGATGGTCCAGCTACATGCTGGCGTCCAAAATAAATGGGACGTCACACAAAGAGACTGTCGTCCAACCTCCCCCGCGGCTCCTGCCAAACCCGATCTCCATCGTAGCACTCGACGTGACTTTGCGTACGTAGTCTAGAATTTCCCGCAAGGCGGTCCAGTCTAGAGTGTGGTTGTCAAGATCGCAAGATCCTTTGGTCCAGGACCGCATACCCCGTACCCCAGGTACGATGAAACCTGCTGGTTGCGTCACCCCCACTTCTTGCGCTCAATTGCTCAATTGCGCTCGTGGGACAGCAGATACGTTCCTTCAGCAGCCGTGGGGGACGATATGCCGCGCTACTATTGTGACTACTGTGGTACTTACCTCACCCACGACTCCGCGCCTGGACGACGCCAGCACAATCGAGGTAGGTTTGTACGGCACTAGCGCGGACGACATAGAGCCAGGGTTGCCCCCAGCAAGCAATTGTGGTGTGTGCTTCGGCGGTGCGGGAACACACCAACCCCGTGCCACTCGAGTGGGCCTACAAGTAGTCGTAATATTAATATTTGTTGACAGATATATCGACTTGGATCTGGGTTCACGGCATTGAAATGCGATTGTTTTACATACGTCTTTGATTATCCTTTCGTTGCCCACCCGGCCTCATCGACCACGCTATCCTAGCCGACGCTCAATCTCCTAGCAAAACACTAGATGTAGGTACAGCAGGTAGCAGGGGAGAGGGCATCGAGTCCATTGGTGCTGGGTAGCCCTTCGAGCAGCAGTGGCGCTATTCTAGCCATATAACATGTTTGCAATTCTAGTTTGGTTCCTCGTCGTGCCGGCTATTTAGACTATAACGTATGCCGAGAAACCTTGTTGTTGCGCTTTTGCAGCAGGGAACACAGCCAGCCCTATTCGGCCGCATCTGCAAGATATACAAGTCTCACAGAATACACAGCGGGTAAAAACCTCATGCCTTGAGTGGCGGTGTCGCACTGCACGACCACGTCACAAGCATGACTCATAATAGCTGGGCAGCATCGAACTGCTGCATAGGCAACCCTTTGTCACATCCAGCTGATTGTCGTCCTTTTGCTCTGCGCTGGTTGATGTTGTACATATAGCTAGTAAATAGTAGTAGCGGCTACGGTTTAACCCCTTCGGGTCTAGGCTGGACTGTCAGATTTTTTTTCTTGCGCCAAAAAAGAAAGGGCAAACGACACAACAGGGTATACCCTGGTCGAAAAGCGACACACCTGGGTACACAGTCATTAACAGCAGTAAATGCACTCATATCATTGGTCAGCGCCGAATTTCACCCCTGTGCGTCCGAAAAGGCGCAGGGTATACCCTGCCGTGACTACTTTTCTCAACAACTGTACCCTGTTTTCGGAAATGTACCCTGACCTGACGGGAAATGAGACCCTTTCATCAATCATTTCCCCCGCAGGAATCTTCCCAATTCCTTTTCCCCTCCAACCATGGGATACCAAACGTCGAATCTTCCCGCCGAATAACAACCATGGCAACCGGGCAGGAATCAGTTCCCGTCCCTGCGAAACAACACCAACCATCAACTCTTCCGCTCTAAATCAACAACGGCCGGGCAATACCGCAGCACAATTGTTCCGTTTGGAAACATGGACACACGCGTACAATACCCCGTGGACTACTGCTTGCCTCAGTCTATATGCGAAATGCACGGGTCACGCTATGAAAGCGAGAGACCGATCCAGCATGGTTGACATGCATTTATGTGCACGTATGTGCCAATGTGTGGCCCTGTGCTGGCGGCGAGCTCGCGCCCGCAGATAGGGTGGAGGGGAGAGGCAGGACCAGCACACGCAGACACACCCTTGACATCAATCACGCACACACGAGTCTTATCCTTACTCTAGCAGCAGGACACTGCTGTGTCGTTCAACTCAATCACCGAGAGAAGAAAGAGTGCTCGCGTTGTATTTCATCGGCTCATCCCGCTGAAGCCTGACGTCTTCTTACTACATTGATTGATTGGTCGGCTTGGTTGGCTGATAAGCGTGACCGCTGCTGCTACAGCAGTAGTTCAAGCAAGAAACACACCGCAATTGAGACACAACAGACAACACACGCACACACATGCATATATATGCATGTCAACCATGCTGGATCGGTCTCGCTTTCATAGCGTGACCCGTGCATTTCGCATATAGACTGAGGCAAGCAATAGTCCACGGGGTTTTGTACGCGTGTGTCCATGTTTCCAAACGGAACAATTGTGCTGGGGTATTGCCCGGCCGTTGTTGATTTAGAGCGGAAGAGTTGATGGTTGGTGTTGTTTCGCAGGGGCGGGAACTGATTCCTGCCCGGTTGCCATGGTTGTTATTCGGCGGGAAGATTCGACGTTTGGTATCCCATGGTTGGAGGGGAAAAGGAGTTGGAAAGATTCCTGCGGGGGAAATGATGATGAAAGGGTCTCATTTCCCGTCAGGTCAGGGTACATTTCCGAAAACAGGGTACAGTTGTTGAGAAAAGTAGTCACGGCAGGGTATACCCTGCGCCTTTTCGGACGCACCGGGGTGAAATTCGGCGCTGACCAATGATATGAGTGCATTTACTGCTGTTAATGACTGTGTACCCAGGTGTGTCGCTTTTCGACCAGGGTATACCCTGTTGTGTCGTTTGCCCTTTTTTTTCCCTCCCTTCCGCCGCCCTTTCGATGTCTTCCGATTGCGGAGCAACTGGAGCAAATTCTCTTGGCACAAGACTGGGAAGAGGGCCCAGATCCACTTTTCATGTTTGTCGATATCTCCATCCACAAGCAACGAACACCTAATGTCATGGATGCTACAGAAAGCCAACGACATCAGCTTGTGTGCCCACCGTTTGGTTCAAGTTGCACGGCCCAGCGTCATATACTGATGCGTCCTCCAAATCCGTCTGTTCAACCAGATCTGTCTCCTAGTCAGCGTGTCGTGTGACCCTCGTAACAAGCACAAACTGCGAAACAATCGCGGAAAACTGGTATACAGCGTCTAGTAGGATGTGCAAGTACTATATGGTTTCAGCAGCCCACGTAGACCCAGGGTGGCGCCAGGTGGGCGTAAGTGCGCCAAACCGCTTGCCCGGGGATGGTATGGGAAAAAGTCCCACATCGGAAAAAAGCCTGATTACTGCGTCGGTACTTTTCCAACGCTGTTTTCCCTACCCAGAACGCCACACGCCCTCGTTTCCCTTCGTTTCTTCTGCGGGAAGGACTTGTCAGGACTACAATATATCTACTCGGAGGTGCCTTCATACGTGACGGTGGTGGGTTGGTTGTAGTGGCGGCGGTGCCGGAAAAGGTCGAAAAATATACAAAAAAAAAAATCCGGCATGGCAACACTGATGTGTGATGTGTGATGTCCACGAGGTTTCCAGATGTTCGATTTATAGAAAAAGTCTCAGAAATACAGAGAGATTATCTCTAAAATCCGGTTTCTCTCTTAAACCCATTAGGTGGGGACAAGCCAATTTCACTCTCTTAAATCCGTACTTTCTCTTAAATATTTTCCCTTAAACCGTAGCCGCTACTGTCCATTTGAAAATTTGCACGAATTCGTCCGACGGCGGTTTTAGGTCCACACTTGCCGCTCTGTGTCGAGGGGGGTGGTGTGACGACCGTCCTCGACACTCTTATTACAGTAAAGGGAAAATCGGGAATAAAGAGACAACGGCACTTACAGCACAGCGTACAAAATCCGGTGTGCTGTATGGCCCCAACAACCCAGCAAGGGCGCGAGCGGGAAGAACGTGACGCATGTGGAGACGGAAAAGTACCGTACTGATACATACCAGGTACAAAAGATGGCACCGCCCCTAGACCGATTTTCAAAGCTCGATTGCTCCTCGACCAAGCTTGTGCAAACACCAAAAATTGTGGTTTTGAAAACATCTCGTCAAGGGCTTTTCGTAGAAATATCGGACTCTGTCTGCACCCACTTGATTGTGGAGCAATCGAGCTTTGAAAGCCGGTCTATGGCGGTGTCATCTCTCGCATCTTCACGGTAGGGTGAGGTTGAGGTGGATGTTAGATATTAGATGGACGGGTGTTTCGAGCTCCGTTCATGCTGTAGAAATGGGTGGAGATGACCGTAGATCGTTTGTTGTCCCAAGGTGACGATAACAGGACGTGGTAAAGATGATACCAATAGTATGTAGTCCTGACAATTTTACACATTGTAAGAAACATTTATTTTGTAACATGCGTGCACTCCGCCGGCGTATCTACCCTCCACAGAAGTCACTCCAACATGAATGGAACGTGTCAAAAACGGCTGAGCTAACGGTGTCATTATTTGTTTGGCGGGCCGTGGAAAATAATGAAGAGACATCGACAACAGCCTTATCTCCCAGACATCATCCGAACGAGAGGAGAGGAAATCCCACCTTATGAGTGGCATGTCCAAGTGCGATAGAAAAAAGGACAGGGTGTTGTTCGAAACGCTGGGTGGGGCAATTATATTTGACGGATAAAGCTGCAAATTCGGAAGGCGTTTTGTATGAATTTACATGCGCCCTTGGTGAAGCGTCACGTTAGACAGAAAACGAAGCCAACTACGGTGGTAAGGTGATTGTTTTACAGCAAAGGGCAGGTCACATCAACGTGGTGGACATCGTTTGACAATTTTGATGAGTGTATGTGCGTGTAGTCAACTGCAAACGAACGTGTGGTGGACTGAGAGACCGAATGGGCATGCCAATAGTTAACCAGCCGATTGTGGATGGTGTTGGCAACGCTCTCGTGGTTGTGTTTGTTTTTTTTAACGTAGGCATCGACCGCCCTAACCGGTGACCAAAAGAGGTCTGTCTCAGTGCGGTTGGAAACAAATATACTTCCAAGGGCCATGATTTGGGGCCCTGTAAGGGGGCGTCATGCGGGAGGCTATGCCATGTGTGTGTGTTAAGGAGCCGAGGGAGTCACTCACATATCGATCGCAACCAGTCCTTCTGTACTGCAGTGGGGGTGACCCCACTAATGAGGGTCGGGTCTCTATCTAAGAGGGTTACCCTACTGGCGGGTCGAATCTGTGACAACCGATTTCGACCGTCTTATGTCGCAACCCCCTCTTACTCGTTACCATCTGTTAGTGGAGCCACGACTTAAGCGGTGTGCATGTTGGTTCCGGTTTGCGTGTTTGTTGTCATGCAGGCTTCCGGACGATGTCCCTGCCGCGAGCCAGCCGCATTTCACCGCACAAAGAACATGCCCATCCCGGACTATCTGTATGTAGGAAGAACGTTTCGCATCAGGGATATTGCATGATTGGTCCCATCTGCAACGCGCTCACCGATTCACGCGTTCCACGCCGAACAGGATGGAAGCACACCGATAACGTGAAGCTGCACTACAAGCAGTTTTTGGAGAAGTTCGTCCAGCAACAAGCTGCAAACGGCGGTGAGTGAAGAGCCCTTCGCTCGTGCGAGGGCCTACTACCTGTGTACCCCGTGGAACGGCATAAAACACTGTGACTTTCGTGCTTCGTTTGCATCCCATGTTTTACGATGTTCGCGTTCGGCTGACGCTTCTGTTGCTAGGTCTTCTTCAGGTCAGTTTTTTTCGGAAACGTCGGGGCCGTAAAGCAGGTCTCCATGGTGGTACTCATCAGTACCGCGAGCAGTTGGAGTAGCCCCTTACAACTGGATCAAGTAGCCATGTCCAAGCGTTTTCGTTCAGGGGCTTCGCATCACCTCTTCCTATGACCCCGCGCATCTCCGATCACTGAAAATGGCCGCATGTGTGGTGCCTGCTGAAAACAGGTGCAGGGCCCAGCGGCGCGATGCCAACGGGACCGATGCCTATGTGTCCTGAAGTTGGCCCTGGACCTAGAGGGCCGATGATGGGCTCAGGATCTTTGGGAATGGGCCCCATGAACAACTCACTAATGCCTGGAATGGGAGTGAGTGCGCCGCAGTTTCAGCTAAATTCGCACCCTTGGCAAAAATGTGTCGTTATTGCGATTCGAAAACGGCGGCTCTTCGTCACGCCTAGGCGATGTCTTGACGGGCGTTGTTTTCTCCCCCATTGAGTTCATTTTCTAGACGATTGCTCATGCCCCAACCTCATATGACATCAGCAATTTTCGCAATGCAATCAACTCACGTTCGTACTACCCCTCGCTCGCACTGACTTCAGCAATAGACCCCCTTCTTGGGACAGGACAACCAGACGATACGGGCCGTTTCTGAATAACTTTATTGTCCCGAGTACGTTGGAACGCTCGCATCATTAATTATCGAGTGTCAAGGAATTGTTCGATAGACCCCTCATGAGGAAACGTGCGTGCAGCAGCTGCAATGATCCGTGCGTGCGAGGGAACATGCGTACAACAGTAGTTTCAACGATGATGCGTGCATGGAGGAATACGTCGGTTTGGTCGTTCGTGAGGTAGCCCTTGGGTTACGCACAAGGACGGCGTATCAAATTGAGCTGGGTTAGATGAGTCCGTGTGCACATCTCCCAAGATGTTTGTCCGTGTGGCGTGTGTACGTGCGCCGACTGAAGGCCTTCGCCGAACAATGCTTGGATGCCCTTCGTGAGAGATTCGCTGTTTTTTAGACAACACCCAACTACTGCCATGCTCACAACATGAACTGCGCTCAAACGCGAAATGTCAACCAAATCAGGGGCGTGGCCCAATGGGCGGAGGACCGATGATGGGCGCACCGCGTCCGGGTGGATTCATGGGCGGAGGGCCAATGGGCGGTGGACCCATGATGGGACCACGCCCGGGCGGATTCATGGGCGGTGGACCCATGATGGGTGCACCACGTCCGTTTATGGGAGGCGGGCCGCCACGAGGCCCTCCCCCACCACAAGCCACGCCCCCGAATGGCAACGGTCCAGCTCCTGGCTCCGGACCAAGTTAGGCTTGAGGAAAGAGGGGAGTTACCCTATTTTCGCAAGTTGTGCGCTTGCCTTCGAGAACCGTTTTTTCATCAGCAGTTCGCCAGGATGTAAGTGTGGAGTAGCGAGGTCCTGGTGCGCATCACGACTTAGGGGCTTGCAAGAATGGCGCACTCGTAGCAGTTACAGCAGCTGAATAAGCTTGCGCCGGCTTTTGGGCTTGTTCGTTGCAAGACACATGCGACATGCGTTGTCCACACGACACACGACATGACCTGAGTTTCGTGTAACCTTCAAGCACGTGGCAAGGCGGCGGAAAACACAACACTTGGCTCACCAAGTACCACATGTCTCTATCCTTTCTTCTTGCCTCCTTTCGTGAGGCTGACAAGAGTGTACCAGGCAATGTGACGCATCAAATTCAAGACATTTTCCGACGGAGCTGTTTTCCCTGGCTACCCTCTGCGGCTGATACAGTTTTTGCTGCAGTTGAACCAGCGAACACAGAAATGCTTGTGCAGCTCCTTCCATGCGATCGATCACGGCACGACGGGGGTGACTCGGCACTTGAACTTGTTACGGCCCAAAGGGCAACTGGTCGCCTGGGATGTACTCGCATGAAACCTGTGGGAATTGACGGGAGACGCGAGACAGCAGCAGAAAATTGGTGCACGACGTGCATCGATCGGCCCGTGTGCAGATGGAACGATGATATCACCGACATGCACGCTGTCCCAAACCGTTCTTGTGGAGGACTATGCGCAAATGTTCGACACTACTGGTCGCACTCTGCTCTTAACACCCTAGGGTCGGCATTACGCTCACCCCAGTCTTGTCGATAACCACCATCCGGATCACTCCTCCAGAGCTCCCGTCGCGAGCCATCGCATGAGAAATCGCTTTGCGTACAAACTGCTGCGCCTCCTCCTTCGTCATGTTCTCCTTGAACGCCGCGTCTACGTGGCCGTATCTTGGGTGTCCAGCAATTGAATCGGTACGCCGTGCGGTGTGAAACATGCCGAACAGAGAAAGAGTCCGCGGTCAAGAAGATCAAACGTCACCAAATTTTCTTTTCAGCGAGCGGCCAACCCTTGCAAGCTTGGGTTATGGGGTCAGGCTTGCGCTAGGCTACCTGTGGATGCCAGGAGTTGGATATGTGCCTGTTCCGTTGTGCATGACAACTCCCGAGAGGTGGCCACGAGTGATAGGTGTCTCATATTGTAGCTTGTCGCTGCCGCGCTTTTAGACAGGTACAGCCAGCAGCAATAGAGTCTCGTTGCTGCACGAGGAGAACATACGCCGGATCGGATTCTACTCACATATACGTAGAGCCGGATCCCCCGATTGCAAACTTCTGCTTCATCATGGTCCCGCCCAACGGGATCTCGTACACAGTTCCCCCATCCACCGGGTCCCAGCCTGCAATGATCATCCCCGCCAAGAGCCGATCCTTGTTGTTGTAGCATAGACCTCGGGCCATCTTTGCTGCTGTCTTGACTAAGGGAAGCCGTCCTAATTCCACACTGAAAAAAAGAATGGTAGAAAACATAGATAGCAGAAGGGGCATCAGGAAGACAGTTTCTTAAAAAGGGGCAAGCGAAGGCACCAAAAAAGTCTGCCATATCACCACCCAATAGATTTCCTTGCAGCACGTCAATATATCACAGACTGGCACTCGCCCACTAGGGCCAGGGACACTTGTCGCGTGAAAAGTACCTTGACATATCACCGGCTCATGCGCGACAAGAGAGATACAGTAGTCTGGACAGATATGGACAACCCGCCATCTCGCACATAGACTTCATCCAAACACCGCCATGTTTGCTGTCGAGCGACTGCTGTGCAGTGACACAGAAATTGGCTGGGGTTTCCGAAACATGCATAACTCGCATCTCCGATCTCCACCACAACGAATCTTCACGCGATGGACTTGCGATGAATAACAGGGGTGATGTGGATAAAAAAGTGAAGCAGGCATTCATGTGTGCGTGCAAAGAGATGTGCAAAGAGACTGCAGTATTCTCGGAGCATTCCCACAATGTTTGGGGATCGGGATACCACTGGCAGATACTATGTCTATATGCCACCTGTTAGCATGGGCATGAGACCCGCCGGTGAGGCCCCGCTCGACCTCTCTCTCTTTTTGGCTCCTCTACTTACACGTGCCTTGGTCTCGCCCAAGAAGCCTTGCCTGCCCTCGTTCGTGGACCAAAGGTACCACGACGTTGGAATCCTTCAACCACAACCACGTTGTCTACGGAAGGAGCCCAAGTCGTCCGTACGACGGAATGAGCACAGAGGACAACGAGCAACACCGTGTCTGTTGCCTCAGCTACAGCCACAGCCACAGCCACATTACCAATGAACCAAGAACAGCCCATGTGGACTCGCGATCATTTCATTGAGAGGTTGTGACAAGAGACAGACGAGAACTTCTTGTAAAATGCTCCCTCCCACCTGTGTGACGCCAAAAAGTAGCGCACGTAGTCCGTGATGGCTTGTGTATCCGCGGCCGATCCCGAGCGACAGGCGTATATGTGGTCGTGTAACGAGGTGATCTTGTCACTCACGCGGTTCGCCACGTAAGTGCCGGTTGACGTTCGCGAGTCTGCTCCCATGATGACCCCACCATCGTACTGGACGGCCATGATCGTCGTCTGAAAGTACAGGTGCAGCAATAAACAGGAGCAAGCCGAACGACGATACACCACGTCAAACGGCGACCAAGCTACATGTAGGGAAAGCCCAAACACATGCATACCAACACGAACGCCGCAACCTGTCGCACCATGCGAAAATAGCCACGTTCTTCCAAGGAATATGCACAATTGAGGGCAGGTCGCCTAAATGGGGTTTTTGTCTGGGCTTAGAAGGGGTCAAGAAACAACACAAAGCATCATTGCTCTACACTGGAATGAGGCAACAGTCTGTCGTCTACAGTCGGTGTATGTGAGTGCTTAAGAAGCAATGTCAGACAAGAACACATTCGTCATGTATGCAATGATAACGAGGTAAATCTTTGGTAACGTGCTGAACGTGCAGTCTAATATTGGAATGAGAGGAGTGGGAAATGTTAGATACTGGCCGTTGCACTCATGATGTTTTTGAAGAGACATTTCGCCAAAGACAGTTACATGAAGTAGAGTCAAGGGTTTCTATAGAAAAAACTTCCAGTGGAACACATACCGTGGCGTCAGGCGAATCAGATGTCCTGCCGGGCGCGTTGCCGCAACTGAACATTCTTCTCTCTCTCCTCTTGGGATAAATAAAACGTACAACATCGTGTGTATCACAACAACTATTCGTCCCCTCTGGTGGGAACCGCCTGAAAGGCCCACTCTTGACACCAAGCAACGGCCAACATTGTGACCAGCTCGATCTCGACCTCCGCCACCTCTTACAAGAGAAACTGAACTGCGACCAGCCGATTCTTATCATCTCAAGCTACCAACCAAAACCTTGGGCTTGCGTATTTGCTCTTTTTCCCCAACAGACAGGGGTGTGCAGACGATGGAAATCAGAAGGGCAGCAGTCTAGACCTCCGAATTGTATCGATGAATACAGCACGTCGGGGGCGGAGATGACTGTGGTTTCATGTTTCAGTCCAGCACTAGACCATAATTTGCAGAGGCGCCACCTCGGACATGCGACATTCCACGAAGCTGAGGATTGCCGGCAAAGCTCAATGTCAACCAAGTTATTTCTTGTTTTGCTGTTGTTATCGTCGTCGTCCCACTAAAAACCGTTCGGTTCGGTTCAGCACAAACCTTGTACCGTTACTCCATGCGCACACACATGGTCACTGCCGTACTCCGGGATATCCCACGCCAGGTTCTCGCCGACCAACAGGCTCACCCGCGAGGTATATGTACGCAGAAATACAAACCGTGCGCAGCACATATGGATAAAACAAGCGTTCCCCAAGATGCCGAGTGCAGATCGACCCGGGAGAACGGGAAGGCGGACACCCGCCTCTGCAAAACAGAGTGCATTTGCTATGTATTTGGTGCAACCTATTATAGTGCTGCGGTGTGCCTGTGGCATATTGAAATAGTCTTGTAGCACACAGACTACAGATTTCTACAGACACCTTCGGACTTTTCTTCTCAACTTGTGTATGTGCATATGCAAAGAGCATAGGGACATGCCAACTATTCGCCCACCGGACAAAACCATGTACTACAGCATGCACGGCAGCAGTACACACAACCCTACCAGGATCCCGACAGCCCCGGGTTTGGTACAGGAGTACATACAGCAGTAGTGCCGTGGGTCAGGCCAGGTGGGGATGTCGTATCTACTTACAGCATGCAGCAGTAAACAGCAGTTGGTCGAGTTCCAACTGACTGACCATTAATGGTAGAGTACACAACCAGAATTGCGTGCCTGGAAGACTGCAAGAATGGGTGGCAAAAAGCACAGCTTTCTTCACCCTTGTTGCGTGCTTCGGTGAAGCAGAGACGAGAGTAGAGAGTGGAAAGACTCACCCCTGTGGAGATCTCGCCATCCTTCAGGCCTGGGTACTCCTGCTGCGTTGCAATATCCATCCTTGCCTTGCTGTGCTGCTGTCAACGCGCAGGCAACCACCCGCAGTGCAAAAGCCGACAATCCAAGTACGGCACCTCGATTGTACCCTTCGCACTCTCCTTGCCCTACTCGTCACTGGTATGGTGGTGGGTGTGCTCTGTCTCTTGCTTCTTCCGTTCTCCAGAAGACCAGACAAACCCGCCTATCCGAAGGGGCTCCGGTGATACACGCTCGTTTTGGCGGAGCCCCTTTCCCGTCCTTGCGCCCCCCCCTCCAAGCACCTTGATTGTAGCAGCATGCATGGACATGGCCAGTGGTATAAGCACGTTGCGGTCAAGTAGAGAGACAAGCTCACGCATACACTCACCCCTCCCTCATACGCGTGTGGCTCTCGAGGATTTTCGGGCTGTGACGAATGCGAGGGAGACCAATTGTCGGAAATGGCGTGCCTGCGTGGGTAGTCCAGGCGCCACGACTGCAGCGCGACGCCTCAGCAGTACATGCGCTCGGTTGTGTTAGGAGGCGTGCGTTGCCTGGGTCCGCCCAAGCTTTTGGCCCTTGTGGTGAAGAGGGTAGAGAACATGGCGGTTACCTTGGTGGCAGAAGACCATACCGTCGTGCGGATTCACCTCTTTGTGCGGGGATGCCGCTGGGCGAGGAAGGCTCAGCAGAGCACCAGCATGACGGCACAGCAGGCGATCCTTGCAGTACCTTGGACGGGGGAATAGCAAGGACCTTGACGAGAGACGCACGAGGGGGCAACAAGGGACTAGTAAGACATAGGCTCAGCCCGATACAAGTGCAGCAGCAAGCTCTGATAAGGAGGCTACGTACGCTGGAAGCCAGGCGGGACTGGCGAGGGGTGCTGGCGGCCATGGTGAGAGAGAGAGAAAGGGGAGAATTGTAGAGCTTGAACGTGTAGCTTATGCGCAGGGTAGGACATCCAAGGCACTTTCAGTCGGATCGTCCGGTGCTGCGTCCGTGATAGGTGCAAGGAAGACGTCAGGGCCATGTAGGTCTCTCCTCGTTCTCCTAGCCCGTGGTTTGATTTCATGGTGCTACGAAACATGTCAGCTGCTACGCAGCAACATGCGCAACACTACAGCAGCACGGTAGACTTCAACTCATTGCACCACCGGAACCGGGAATTCCCACTTCATGTTTCTTGCGGCGGTCGGTACACAGAGGACATTGGGACGGTGGTTGATTCGTAGGGCATACGTCGTACATAGGCGTGCTACAAGTATATCAACTAAATTTGGTACGAATGAAGCTATCCACCACGGCTGTGGTATGGCTTCGTCCGAAACATGAGGGTAGTGCACATGTGTCCAATCTCCAACACGGTACACCGGAAGCCTCGGCCGAGTGCCTCCGAAAACTAATGCCTGCTGTAGTATTTTATGCTGCCCCGTTGTGTTTCTATCGTCCTACTTCTATGTATTGTATCGTTCTATGCATACAGCTGTTGAAGCCGCTCGTGCCTTTCAACCTCATCTCGCTAGAAAGGAAGGCATGGCACGGTATCACAAATAAGTTCTAGACTGTATGTACAACGCGACCGCAGATCGGAGCCCTTGAGTTTAGAGACCAAATCCTGGGAGAGGTCGAGACACTGCTGTGAAGGGGCGGTGGAGTACGTGGATAAAATGAAGTAGGGTTGATTGATCGTTTGGCAGAGGCCAGCAGATGAAGTGAAGTGTTGGGAGGTACTCTGTATGGAACACCCAATGGTGTCATGGCCGTTTGCGTGTCTTGCGTGCCTTAGCACACGAGCGCAATGAGACTGTGCGCGAAACGGGAGAAAACCCCGAGGTTTACTTCGTGACGAAGTATTTAATAGTTCTCATTTGCTGCGTACTACTAAGAAGATTGATGTCATCGCCCACGGCATGTTCCTTCCGGTATCTGTTTGTTATGTAGCAGTTGATGTGTTGTCTTATCCTCTCCTGTGTTTGCTTCCTGTGGTCCGTCGCGGTTTTATCGTAGGACTCTGCAAGGAACGAGCAGATGCCGATGAGCCGGACGGTTTACAACAAGGCAATCATTGCCATTGCCAAGAGCGGCAGGTTCGTGCGCGAAATGACTTGGAGTTTAAGGGTGGCAATATCGCGTGCCTCATGAGCTAGTTGCTCAAGAACATAGCGACGATCAAGCACGCGAGAGAAACTGGCTGTCACGCAGCGTTGAATTTTTGATTGGTCTAGCATTTTGAATTATGCCATCAACACGTTCAGCTGTCTCCCAAACTCAGCAGCACACTGGCGCAATGGGCACGTCAATGATGAATGCTACTGCTATCAAACAAGTTTTGAACGGAGCTTTCTGGGGCTCTTTAGCGAATAGCTGCGTCGTGTAGGCCCGTACGTTGTAGATGGACACGTAAGTAAGCAGCATGTGTCTCCCCTTGTCCCGCGGTGTGCGCTACATTGTTAAGGTGGCGAGAGACGCTCGCCTTGGTGGAGAGTATGAAGAGTGACGACCTGTCGCCGGATGTGTACAGCTATGCCGGCTGCATCGATGCATGTGCGAAAGCTGCGCAATGGAAGAAGGCGTGCCAGATACTCGGGCAGATGCGGGAAGCAGGAGTAGAGGTAAGCGGGGTGGGTACATTGGTGCCGTTTCGCGCCTGCGTTTGCATCCCTTATTTCCCTCGTACGCTTAAACGGTTCCAAGGAGTACTCTCTGCTCCCCCGTTGGGGCGTTTGAAATGGATGAGTCTCCCAGCGTTTCAACTCTGGCTAGAGTTTTTGCGTTCTGTTCGGATAGTATGAAGGTCGAAATGTTGAAAGCGATTTCAAGAGCAAGACGAATGGTATGGTATGGTTAGATTTGACAAGATCCCCAGTTTTCCGTGTTGGCTTCGGATCACCAGGACCCATTCAAGCGGTACTATGCGCTGTGTCTTGAACTGCTTTCGACACGCTGAGATATATCCACCCTTGCGCGCAATTCCATTTGCCAGCCAAACGGTTATGCGTTCAATTCGGCGATAAACGCCTGTGGCAAGGCGCACAAGTGGCAGGAAGCCCTGGCTCTCCTCCGACAGATGGAGCGGGAAGGGGTGCTGGTTACCACCGTCACCCTCAACGCTGCCGTAGATGCGTAAGTGTTAGCGCTGCCTGTATTCGTTGTTACTGGTCATGGTAGTACGCGGCCGACAGAAAAGTTGATCATTACTGGGCACGCAAACGCGAAAAAAGTAGTTTTAAGAGGCAAGAAGACAGGGAGGCACGACATACATGTGTCGCGAAAAGGTGACGAGGCTGCGTCCGGACTGGCGATGTGTCACCACCCCAAATTGGAAACCCGTGGAGAAGCCGAGAGCGTAGAGTAGATGGTAGTTGCGGGCGAACAAAATGACGTGAAAGGCACTTTGACAGTTTCCTCTGCTCTCTTGCTTTGTTGCATAAAATTTGCTCTGTTAATATGCGGGTGTGCCGCAGGTGCGGAATCGCCGGAGAGTGGCGGACGTCTCTCAAAATGCTCAAGGAGATGCAGTCGGAGGATTCCCCGCAGTGGCAACATCCAAATTCGCGAACGTTCAACATTGCCATCAAAGCGTGAGTCAGTTGCTGCTGCTTTCCGTGATGCGTCGTTCTAGTTGCGCATCGCATTCCATCTCGACATCTCGACTGGTGTGTCGTGCTGAAACGAGAAGTGGGGGGGGGGCGTACTCTTATGTTTTGCATTCCTTAGCGGTTAGACCATTGACCACGCGTCCTCGAGAGGACGGAGTATTGTTCCCACAGGACCGATCACCGATGGCCAATCGTTCCTTCCTACTTTGCCAAAGGTGGCTCAAAATGTCTTCCCTATTCTATCTATCCTAACGATATCCCTTCCCGCCTTTTCAAACCACTTCCTACTCCCCAGTACAGCTATCGTCCTCTCCTCTCTATTCCATGCCTCAAACATCTCCCTGTACCTCCCTTGTATTTTTCCCAGCTCAGTCATGTACACTTCCGTCTCCTCTTCGTACAACTGACATTCCGCGACTACATGAACACGGTCTTGGCATTCGAAGCCGCAATCATATTTAAACTTGTCGTCTTCGTCGTCTACCGTCCTGTGTCTTCGTCGACGTTCTCGAAGGCCTATGTCCCCGGTCCTGAATTTGACCTTGAGCTTTGTCCCTGCATACATTGGTCCATGTAGGTAATCCTTGATTCCTACTCGAACCCTCCTCCTTCTTGCAACATTCCGTACACTTTTAGACCCTCCTTATCCTCGTTTTCTTTCCTTAGATTATGTTCTTCTCTCTCGGCACAAGCAACATATATCTTCTCCTTGAACCCCTGTAGACCCTCCGTTTCCAGCGTTTCATCTTCGTCGATGTCGAACCCCTTCCATACTTCCTCTACAACCTTGACCCATTCCGTGGGTTGTCTACACCTCTTTTTGTTTGCCCACTTCACCCCCCATACTATTCTCGGCAACCTCTCCTCTCCCATCCCGCACATGCGATACTGCCATGTCAGTTTCCTTGCGTCTCTTCCCGACCGTAGGGATTGGGTCCCCAATTCTGCCCTGACGGCTGCATTACTTGTGCGCTTGGAACATCCTGGGATGATTTTCGCTGCTTTCATCTGCGGCGCCTCGAGTTCTTTCACTACCTTGTTATTTCCTTCCCATACTTCTCCGGCGTACTCTAGTGGGGGGGCGGGCAAACAGTCCTATGAGTAAATACCTCCCCTTGTCTCCCGGTGCGTTCTGCCCTCGACGACGGCAGTTGCGCGGAAGTGGCCGAGTGGCAAACTGCTCTTGATCTTTTGGCGGAGTTGCGAGCTGGCCAAGTGACAGAGGGCGGAGAGCCTCTGGAGGCGGATACTGTGAGCTTCAACGCCACCATCAACGCGCTTGGGAGGGGTGGGGAGTGGAAGAAGGCTGTGGCGCTTCTTAGAGAAATGACGAGAGCGGGGCTTGGCGTCAAGGTGCGTCGCTCGGAGTCAAGACAAGATGGTTCCTTTCGGTCGTTCATCCTTGTGGCACTTCCCGCACGTACATTGCATTCCTCGCCCACTTGTTAAGTTGTTGTTTGACGCCAGCTTGCCTGCGAGGTCGATTCTTGAGAAAGGAGGCGTTGTCGAGGCGAGGCGCTTCAATATGTTAGCGACACTTGAGTGTAGGCAATACCAGCCTGAAACAATCTGGAGGCTTAGCTTGCTCACGGTGCTCATTGGTAGCGTCGATGTCACGGAACAAAACGTCTTACATGTTGAACACGTTTTTGCACATGCTGCCTGTCCCCTACAGCCGAATGAGATATCGTACAACTCGGCCATCCACGCGTGCGGTCGAGGAGGGCAATGGGAGCTAGCGCTGTCTCTACTGAAGGAGATGCGTGAGCTAGGTCTCCCTCCAGATCGGATTAGCTTCGGTGCCATGGTGAGACAGGCAGCACCAAGATGCTGCGAACCTCGTGTGGCAACTGCTAATACACGAAATGTATGTACACATGATTTGAGAAACTACCCGCGCTCGGCCGCCACCCTGAGTTTGTAACGATACGTGTGAAAGACTTCATTCAGAGTGGGTTGGTTGGCGAGGCTTCGATGTGAAAACGTTTTTTTTCCCATGGCGTATCCTCAGAATGCAAATGTTTCACTGCGAATCCAGTACGACCAGAGAGGAAAACAGACCGCAAGAACGACGAATGGCGGCAAACGGGACTCCTGGTATTGGTGGTAGGGAGAGGTGCTTTCTGTGGACCGGAAGCGATCTGATACTTCCAACCAGATAATAGACACTAGGGTCTGGGAGAAAAGCAAGTATGGATACGTGCCTGCGCCACATAGCGGCATATTCAACACAAATCTTACTGGCTCTTGTTGAAGGTCCCGTATTGCAAAATTTGTGTCGTCGCGTCGACTAGACACAACTTGGTCTGCTTGTGTCCCCCAAATGATCATATCTAGCTAGTGTACCATTTAACAAGCAGGCTCCTATATCTCAGCAACAATGCAAAGAAAGCCCACCACTGCTGGAATACTCTTCTTGCTGTGCGACGGGCAGGCAAATGCTCTCGGCACAGCGGGCAAGTGGCCACTATTGCTCGAGTTGCTGGAAGAGATGAAGGCAGACGGCAACCCCCCAACTGACGTAGCGTTCAAGGCTGCAGTCGACTGCTGTTCCAAGGTCAGTTGAAGGAAACAGGTGTCGTTGCTTTTCACGGGCGATGGAAACGTAGCAAAGTCAAGGAAGGTAATTGATTTTGCGTCAAGCCGAGTAACACTCAGCAGTCTTGTGCATTACCGTACCACATTTACCAATTCGGGTTTTTGGTATCGGGGCGATCGGTAAACCCGCTTTCCTGCACGAGGTTGCCTGGTGTTAAGCCTCATGTGCTTAGCAAGGTGTCTCTATCAGCTGTTTGTATCGCCTCAGCTTTTGAGGTGCGAATTTTCAGGCTGCATGTCTCTCTCTCTTTCTCTCGATCCCTCTCTTGTTTCCCACCTCAAAGTGTGCTCCTTGCGATACTAACCAATACAACAATCGGTGGCTCCTCGACTGTACCTCAAGGTGTGTGACTTGATGCCACGCCATCCCTGACACACCCCTTCTGTGTGCGCTTGATCTGCACGTCCGCAGGCGGGAGAGTGGCGACACTCCGTTGCGTTGATCAAGGCAATGCGCGCCGCTGGATACCCGCCGACCGTGCTGTCCCTTTCAAGCGTCATCTCTGCGTGAGTGGCCTTCCCTTCACTATCGGCGAATCACCTAAACCTTGATTTTGGTGAAGTGATGGTCCTACCGCAAGGGCAGCCTGGTGTGCATATACCTCCGTTTTCACACCCGCTTGCCAGGGACAAAGACAACCTTGACATTTGTTTTCGACGCGTGCTTGCCCCTCTTGACGGATTCCCCACCTTCTGACAGATGCGGGAGGGGCGGGAGATGGGAGGTAGCACTAGCCCTTCTGCACGAAACGCGGAAGTACGGCCCCTCCGCATCAGCCTCTGTTTATGTCGCCACCGCACAAGCATGCGCGAGAGCAGGGAAGTGGGAGGAGGCGACGAACTTGATGGAGGTATGTATGCAAACGTCGCCCGCGTGCGTGCCCTCAGCAGTGTTCGTTTCCTCTCTGAATGTCGGTTTTCAACTTTCCCGCCGTCCTCCTCACAACGCCTTCGCATTGGCAGTTGTGTTATACGAGACCGCGGGTGATGTATGCTTAAGTGTGCACAGATATCGGTCGCATTTGGTATCATCGCTCGCTTCTCCCAGTATGCGCCTTCGTCTTGTCTTCCCTGCAGAAGACCCCCGCTTCGGGGTGGTACATTATCCTTCTCTGTGCTTGCGTATTGTTTACACTAAACGGGTAGCGCAGCTCCTTCCCGCGAGCATGATCACGAACTGAGCGCGTTGCCCGTGTTAAAGTGCAAAATTGATATTCATATTCGGCTGAGACACAAGATCACGACCCATCTTTCAGAATGCGCTCCGAGGATACCAACTGGACCACCTTGGCCTTGACCCGGCTGCAGTTGTTTGATTAGGTTAGCTTTGTCGCCCTGCTGGGAGTCCGGTGCTACGGGGTAGTGTGTCTTTGAGGACGCTCATGAAGTCGCATGAAAATTGTTGCATTGAACTCCCCGTCCCACTTTCGTCGCTTCAAGCATATAGGAATCTACCTGTATCCAGGATGTATGTTTCTGATGTCGGCATCACACGCCTTTCTCAACGTTGCCTGGCTTGGCGGCTTGTGTACTCCTTGGTGAGAAGATGATGAAGGTAGACGGTGTCCGGGCGACAGAGAAGTTCTACATGGCCCTTCTTCGGGCGACAGGAGAAGGCGGCCGCACGGACAAGACGTTGGATTTTTTCGAGGAGATGAAGGAGATCGGCCTGAAACCTGGTGTGAGAAGCTACAACTGCGCGGTTGGGGCGTGTGGCAAGGTGTGTCAGAAGGCGCGGTCGTTTCCAAGAAGACAAAAGTTGCTGAACAATTTCTTGGAGATGACTTGAACGACATGATCGAGCGACCCTTACCAACGCGCCCTCTAGTCTAATGAAGCTAGTGAAGAACCAGGCCATCTCTCAATATGTTCATGACCGCAAAGTCGTGGAGGTGGGTGCGGTAACGCACTGCTGTGCTATTATATAATAGGGTCAACACGCCCTGAGTTGTATCTGTTTCCTCAACTGCCCGCGTGTCAGAACTTGAGATGTCTACCGTGGCCCCGATATGCCCCCCTCTGGTGTCGTGTTCGCAGCACCATACGTGGCACAGCTGCGCCATTACAGTGCTGTTTTCTATTCATTGTCACCGAGGCAAGAGGTCCGCTCTTTTTGGTGAGCGTTATGCGATTGCAGCTTGAGACATGTCCAATTACCACAGTAACCTGATCACCGCGTTTCAATGCACTCACGATCACAGGCTGGCAGCTGGGAGGGTGCAATGAAATTGTTGACGGAGATGCACGAGGAAGGGATGCGCCCGGCGGGATTTGCTGTGGCGGCCACCATTCGCGCATGCAGTTCCGCGGGGGAGTGGAGGAAAGGCCTCGAAGTGTTGCGGCAGTCGCAGCAAGTCAAACCATCCAAACCAGATCCATGCAGTCTGGGCGCAGCCGTAGAGATGTGCTGTCGTGCTGGGAAGTTGGTGAGTGCCCAACCGTGGAGGGATGCTGGCTCTTTTGCCGTAACGACAGGATGAAACTGAAAGCAGGTCACAAGAGTCGCCGAGGAGTTGAAATTCCAGACGATAGCAGTTCTGGTCGTGTCTCTCCTCTTGTTATGGTCTGAATATCCATCATTACAGCTGCAACTGTTAACGTTTGGTCGCGTCGTGGTCGTGCAGGATCACGCGCGAGCTATCTTGCCTCATTTGACAGCACTGGCGGGGAACGAAGGAGCCGATGCGTGGATACGCGAAACGATGGGCATATTCAACGCTTGCATAGGTGAGAACACCGTTGTGCGAACGGACAGCTGCGAACCTTCCAATTTTTTAACGCCGATTTGAAGTCTAGTGCACTTGGATGGCGATGCACGCCATTGGCGCATCAACCTATGAGTAGCCAATTCATCTTGTATTGGAGCTTGTTGCATTTCTTGTATTTTATAGGGTCGAACAGGTTTGAACACAAACACTAATGTGCTGCCCCCTCGTAAGACTCCGTGTTGATTGTTGTCACTGACTGTTGCCATTAAACGCAACAGGCGATTTGGAAGCGCGAGAAGAACCGGCCGTCAACGGAAACGAGGACGATGAGCTACGACCACCTGCAAGTGATGACAAAACCATCGCCATCACCGGTAGGTCCACAGGACACGGCTACTAGCCATGAGGCTGATTAGGTTAGTGTGTGAGGTTAACAGACCGCCGGTCCGATGTGTTCTTCCCAATGTACAAAGTCTCCAATTGTTGTCGTTGATGGCCGTTTACTTTCTTCTTCCCCCCACAACTTGCTGCGATCGGTAGTGTGGTGTATTCAAGAAATAAAACCTGGAAACGAATCTCACATTAAGAACTGATTCGACCGACTTGTCCAAGTCCGGATTGAAAATGTCCAAGGCACCTATCTGAGGGTGTAGGAGAAACGATCATATATTTGCTGACAGCGTGGCGCAACAAGCCGAGTGAGCCTCTGTTAGACAGTTGTATCGTCATGTGGTCACACTACTTACGAGCATGCGGCATCTGATTGGCTCACACCGTGCCTGTGCGAAGTGAAATTCAAATTATAACCACATCACAACCAGAGGTCGCTGTTTATTTATTTATTTATTTAATTTTTTGTTCTTCACTTCAAATCAGCGCTCACAGCACTATTAGTGCCGTTTATTCCAACCCGTGGTCACACAGAAGAGCCTCTCTCTACCCTCCCCTCCTGCGGTACTTTGCCTTCGATTTTTAATGCGAGAAGAGTTCAGCACTCTCTTCCCTCTGTGTACACACGAACTAGCGCTATCCACTTGGCCAGGAGCGGAAGCGAGAGAAAAACTCACTTTGCAAGAAAAGCTCGCCTACTTCGAACCCCTGACCTGACCTCTAGAAGGTTACGAGGCTACCAACTAGACCACCGGGGCGACCGGCCACGTTGCCGACTGTTTATTGTGTCGCCGTGTATGCATTTTCAGATGTCAATGATCATGCGGGAGCCACGCACGAATACATGAGCTCATACGAAAACCCAGGCACCCGTGCAACACAACTACGCAAATGCCCACTAGATGCAGGCCTTTCGTTCTAGCGGTGTGCGACAAACGGTGGATGGTGATTGTGTGGAGCGTGGGAGTACGCGAACGCGCCGTACGTGCGTATTTTGGTTCACCTATTGAGCTGGATCTGAGTTTATCATTTTGTCGTTATGTTAAATGCTAGTTTGCGCCACGGGCATCTATTGATATTGATGTATCTTGCGAAAAATACACTTCGACTGACGCGATAATTTACCCAATCAGAACGAACGTTCGTGGTTTGCGGACTTGAGACCGAAGATCGGATACGTTTTTCGGGCGCGATTTCTTCGGCAACACGTTGCCTGACACCCTCCTCATCTCTTGAACGCACGCCTCGGGCAGGCGATTTGAATACTCAAGCAGCCTCAGGGGAGGAGACGAACCAGCAGCGTCGAGGCCGGCCAAAGCTGTCTAAAGGGCCAACAGAGAGAGCTGTGCCATTCAAAGAGGTCAGCGATCGTCTTGTTTTTGTTTCAGTTTCAATGGTGTCACTTGACGACCGGTAGACCGGATGTGAGTTTTCTTCATGTTGTGCACCATGAAGTTTACCCAGTATATGATACCGTATGAGAAAGCGTTCGCGGACATGAGGTCTAATTTTTCGCCGCGGCGCGAATGACGTTTGATTTCACACACAATCGGCTTATCGTGTGCCCAGGTCCACCAACTTCATCCTCTGGGCGGAGCTGTTGGCGGAAAGGTCGGGGAAGCCCGAAGACTGGCGACAGACCATGCGCCTGACCTCTTGGTCAAGCTATCGCACGGCGGGAATGCCACGTGATACTACGAACGCTTCATCGTATGAAGAGAGCTTCTTCGACCCGTGCGCTTGGTTTGCGGCAGGGTACAGCGCTACTAGTGGTTTGCAGCCAGCATCCCTCGTGATTTTTTACATACTGTAGGGTGTGCGTGCCAGGGACGGCTGGAAGCTTGCTCATTTTGTTTATTGCACGTTGCTCTCGAAGGTTGATGCACTGCAAACCACTTCCCCTGGCCTTGATTTTGTTATTCAGGTTTTGATGGAATGTCCGTCTTGTATTTTGGTGAGTATTTTTTGCCAACGGAAGATGATGCGAAATAGAGCTGTTGCAGGTCATCTTATCTTGCCCGGGTCTTGCCATCAGAATGAACGGTAGAAGGTGCTTTCTTTTTAGTAAAAAACGTTTTGTGTATTACTGTCATACGCTGTGCAAAAGGCCTGTCAGCTTACGTTTAACCAACGCTGAGATGAGATGAGACATGGCCTCGCAAGGTGGTGAGCTTGGGGCTCAGCGTAGGCGCCCGAATGTGTAACGAGCACTCAGCTAGTACCTTGAAGGTTGGACTGTATAAAAGCCCAATCAATTAAATGCGTGGCATTGTTGTTCTTTTGGCGGGATGCAGAGGATTCGATTTGGAGGCTCTCGAGGCCAGAAGCTGTGCACCCTCCCTCCGGCTGAGGCACTCTCGGTAGGTAGAAACCTTGGAGCTTTCTCTTGTTCCCAAACCCAGCTAAAGTTCTGAGCTCGGGTCGATTTCCTTCCTAAAACAGAATAGCTGTAAAAAATCCTCCTAATGTAACACACAAGCGGACGACGTATATCGACGCAGAAAGGTGCCTAATGCGCCTGGTGTTGCCGAAAGAGCCTAAATTGGCCACATCCAACGCCCATGTCTACGAGCGTTGCAGCCGAAGAACATGCTTGGTTCATCCGGCCAGATCGTTGAGACTGAATCAAGGTCAAAAACTGGGCTTGCGGGAACCATTCTTCAAACATGAAATTTGCGGTGCATTCAACAGGTTGTGTGCATGTGCAACCGGTCACAGGGGTTGTGAGAAAATTCCCGACGCCTTGCATATTGCGCGGTGGTGTTTGATGCCGTTGTTGAATAATGTGTGCGAGACTATTCATGCAGGCACCACCTCAGGGCCGGGTACCACCCAACACAAGTCATCGCAAAGCTGTAACCCAAGATGGGGTGAACTACTCAAGCACCAAGACCTAAGCGCAACCTCAGCCTCCAGCTTCCAGGTGCAAGAGACAGACGTTCACAGCACCCTGTTGCACCTGGAACAAAAGCGAAACAAAAGTAAGGCAGCAGTATGCTGCGCTGACACTTGCGGGAATTTCAAACGCCGGCCCGACCCAACACCGAACGCTGTCACTCCTATAATAGAACAACAGCTTCTCCTTCTTGGAGCCGGTGGTCCTCCTCCTTCACTGCTGACCCCTGATTGCCTCATTGGGTCTTTTCCGCGGGCTGACAGACTGCCGTAAATTGAGTACCACCAGCACGGCTAGCCACTACCCACCCAACATCCACAAGACTTTCTTCTTCTGCTTTCCCAGGATCAGTTTTGTTTGCCCCAAACTTCTCAAGCGAGACCGGGGCTTGGGTCCAGTGATGTGACGCATTCCCGACTGCCCCCGCTTCAAGTTCCCTGAACCTGTTATTCGCACCCGTTTCTTTACAGATGACACCTGCCAACGCACAGCGGTTGCGGACGGTGATACAGAATGGTACCATGAATAACTGCATTAGTGTTATTATAACAATTGACGATCCGTGGTTTGAACGATACGATGCAATGAAGCAATCAGCCGCAAGTGACCTAAGCCACGCCAAACGATTCAAACAACTTGAAATAGAGGGGATTGCAAAGAAACCCTTGTTGGACGTGCTAGAAAGCAAACCACAAAAAAAAATACTTCGACGTACCGTACCTCTACACGGCAGCAGTGATATTTGCCCTCTCTCGTCGTTACAGCCCACATTGCAAACACAGTCAGTGCACGGCACCAACAGCCTGGATGAGCCCTCTTCACGACGTACTACTGCTGCTGTACCAATGGCCCGCACTATGGTACCAGCGCGATTCGCGATAATCGCAAATTTTTCATCTGGGCTATCAATACAGCAGTTAGCGCCGGCGCGTAAGAAACGCCAATTTCCGGTCCACCCTCAAGTTCTTTTTGTGGACTGAAAACTCAGCGTACGCTGTTCAATCTCTGACATCAAGTTCCTTATTTCTTTGTTCTTCTGCTTGCCTACTATCGCTACAAGGTCCTGTGCCCCCACCACATGAGTGAGGGCTAAAACTAACGCACTACAGTATTACTGGGAGGGGGTGGGTAGCACATGGGAGAGGGGGAGAGAGAGGGGGGAGCTGTGGGATGTTTCATACTCGACACTCCCCCGTTCTCTATGTAGGTAGCGCTTGCTCCTGTTTTCTTGCTGAGACGTTTCTCTTAGTGTGGTCCAGATTGAGGTATGCTTCTCAACCCTGTTTCTTATTTTTCGTGGAAGTTTGAGCCTTCGCATCTTCAATTTTTGTCTCTTCATTGCGGGAGCTAACTGTATCAATATTCGATACAGCCTGATCCGATTGTCCAAAACACTGCGAAATGAAGTCACATGTAAACAATACCTCGGCAGTCGTTCTTGGCTGTAATATCGGAAATGTGACTAAAATTCGTGGCATGCTTTTGCTCGAGAAGATTGTGGTAATCAGTGCTCGAACGCACACTCGGGGCCAAATTTTTCTGCATGTCTACAGCATCTCCGACCTCAGGACCTTTCTGTTGGTCGAAAAACGCTCCACCTCCAACCCGGCCATGGCCGCGATCTGCGCCACTCCTTCCCCATCCATCCTGAATTCCCGGGCCAGCACCTGCACGTCCTTGGCTGTCCCGAATGGCGACGCTTTACCATCCCCCCTGATAAACGTCCAGATGGCCACCGCCCTCCCCCCTTCCCGGTACTTCTTCTCCGCCGCCGAC